TAACTGCTTGCTTCAGCAAGCGTATTTCCCAGAAAATTACTTCAACAATGCAGGAGTCTTCTCCAATCAGTTAAAAATTGTTCACGTGCTATTGCCGGGTAGGATTTTGAAAGGGCTACGGCTTCACACAGAGGAGTTAAGTTTATCTAAAAATATCCTCAAAAGAAACTTTTTCCATGGTGCGTTGGCTTACAGGTTCAGTGATCCTTAATATCAGATATGCATCTGATAGCGGGGAAAATATCACAGCAAGCCTAGACAGGTAAAATCTGTTTATTGATACATAACTGGAACGCTTGCATTCAAAAATTCAGCCGCAAAATGCCCTGTCAACTGATATTTTGTCAATAAACAAAATTCTAGCACTGAAAATAAAAGGAATTTTGTCAGTTCATTATAAATTGTATATACTAAAATACAACTTGGATAAAACGTATTGTCATTTCCCTAAAGTTACTATGAGCGCTTCGAAGATTCTTGTGTTAATTACTTAATTAATTACGTAATTAATTAATTACGAGGTAGCGTTGTAAGTTAAAATTTTGTTTACATAGACGTTTTTATAATTTTTGACCTTCTTGCTGCTTTTAAGCGTTTACTTTGTAACACAACGTGGGTAATTTTTATCTCGTGAAGAAATTAAGACTATTACTTTTAGTATTCCATTTGTCTCTACCTCGGATCTCCGAAGGCGACAAGTGGTTTCATGAGGACACGAGACCGGTCACTGTCTATCGGGAATGGTGGGTGGGGGGGATTATCTATCCACCTCGATTTCATACGAGAGCGGAGTTGAATCACGCTGACTAAGTCCCGCGGGCCGGTAGACGGATGGCTTGAAGATATATGGATAAATTTCAACCATTTGATCGAAGGACATGAGTTACTGAAAATCAGAACTGTTAGCCGCCCCACCATTTGATGTTTACAAGTTTTATTATGCCCTGGATTTTATTACGCTGAGACAAAAATACTCATCCATAGGCCCAGGTTAGATCGAACGTACTTTACCAATTCATGATTAGTACTAGTCTTATCATTGGATGTTAGTTATTTTTAATTTCATTAAGGAGCAAACGGCTCAAATATACAGCCGTAGTCGTATTTCAATATGAAGTCTTTCGGTTTCTCATTTTCAATGATCTTAACACGCACGATATGCTTGAAAGAAGACCGCAATATCCGCTCGGGCGCCACTAGGGTGACCTTTCCTCTGAGACTTCCGGTCCCTCCCGAGTGAATTATTTTCTCTGAGTGAAGCGGAAGTTTCTTTTTGTGGACTGCCTGTATGTGCTCTTTGAAACTTTGGATTAGATCCATATGAATTCAACTAATTTATGAGCAAGGAAAGAAGGAAGTACATCCCGAGGGAGTAAGGGGGTGAATACATCCAACCCGCCTAGCTCTCTGCTCCTGACCGTCTTTAAATTAAAACATGCATGTCATTTTGCACACTCACTTCCATACGTGGCCCCAATCCACACCAATGTTCCGGCAGAGCTAACATCTTTCAGATGTGCTTGGTTTTCGCACCATTATTTTTACTCTGTTAGCGACGACTGAGATCTGAACTCTTCTCTGTTCTTCCTGGAAACCATGTCTCCCTAAAATCTTCCTCTTTCCCCCCCCCCCCACCCCCCCCCCATACTAAACCAGGGGATTAGCAATGAATGCTCCCTTAAATTGCGTGAGTTTTCTCCTATGGTTCGTGAAGAAGAAGCAAACTCATAATTTAGTAACTTCTCCTTTAAATCTCCTCTCTTTCAAAGCTCTCACTCCATATCGTGAGAAAAACGGACTGATCGAAAAAAAAACCTCCAAGATGACCATTAGAGAGAAATACAGTCACGCCTGCATGAAACTGAAGAAGGTTTAAGAATCGAGAGTATGAAGCCAACTCCTTGAAAGGTTTTGTTGTAATCACTGGCATTTTCTCCTTAATATAATTTTTGAATCTACAATATGAATGGTCTCTTATCACAATTTATTGTAAAATCTTAATCAAACCGCCATCTGCTGAATTCTGTTTTAAAGATCCCTGTTTCCAGACAGACAGTTTCGAAATCCGTCCACGAGTATTGTCAAGATTGAACTAAGATCGATAGATACAAGGGTCTATTGGGATTAGGCCTTTCCCGATTGTGCTTGGCGACTTTTTAGCCGTTTTGGCCTTACTGAGCAATTTATTCAGTTGCAACTTCAAGTTTAGAGCACGACAAAGGCAACTATTTCATACAAACTTCGATTCATGCAATATTGAATGTTCGCAGGCCTATTATCTAACATTAAAAAAGAAATTAATGGTTAGAAGCCGCCTTTATTGCGATCAACTCTTTAGAGCCAAGTAAGTTTATTATTGCAACAAACGAAAAATACAGTTTTTACTTTACGTTTATATAAAATATCCAAATTTTTAAAAGGCAACTTTTGTAATTTAGCTAGCAGCTTTATGGACTTTTGGCAATTTCTTAGAAATTTTTTGGCATTCCAGAGAGCAATTCTCCAGCACTTTACGAGCACAATCGAGATCAGGACAGGCCTATATAGCTAGTTACGACCTGCGGGTGAATAATACTCGGCCAGTCGTATCTTAGAATACGTTAAAGACTTGTGTAACTATAGAGAAAGGGAAGTTGTTCCAATATGTCCAAAAATTTCCCCGTTTTATCTCTTTTCATATCATTCCATGGTTCCGGTTTCACTATCCCATTTCGCTTAAAGGGTGTTTCCGCCCATTTGGTTTTACTTCCCCACTGAAAGGGTATTTACAATCTGAAACGGAACTATCAAACTGATCTGGCAACACGCGACACAAGAATACAAAATAGTTCAGTTTGCCGAGCCTTTTTTTGTGAAAATATCAGTTGTCTGGCTTGCTTTCGAGATGTACATCTAAAATGCTGCAATCAATTTTAAAAGAGTCAAGCCAGTGCCACGTGTTGATTGAAATAATACATTAATTAATTCATTAATACATCTGTCACGCCTTACCAATCGGAAATGGCTCTACACAATATAGCATCCGGTCATTGTTTTTCATCATCTGTTTACCAGGCTTTAAACACATAACGAGTTGTAAAATTATCTTAAGATGACCCAAAAAAACCACCATATTACACCTTCACATTCTAAGAAAAATAATTTTGCACGATAAAACTGATTTCGTCCGTTTTAACAAGAACCGAGATAAATTCATTATAGCAAAGCAAAACAGGAACTTTGTAAGTCACGCGTGATCAATCCACATCAACATGATGCCGCCGCAATTGTGACGTAATTGGGGGCTAAGATTATAATAGCATTAACGTAATATATAAGAAACAACGCTACCCAAGTTGTTGGTAGTTGACAGCGCTTGAACTTGATAACGACTTAAGTCTGTGCGATTAGTCCTCAGCTGAGAAGATCAGGATGAAGACATTGATGTGTTTATGTTTTTTCATCAGTTTAACCCACGCTAATAACGTGAGTATCTCTAATTCCTGAGTTTATGTCAACCTATAACGTATTTTATTCTCTTCGTAATATTTGGATTCCGTCCGTTCCCCGTTCCGGAAGGTTGATTCCCGTAAAATCAAACAAAACATGTCAAAGAAAACATACCTACCTCTCTCACTTTTATGCATTCCTATCGCTGCAATCGTTTTCTCTTAATCACGTACAATCTTAGCTTCATAACTAGTGTTTTGTTTTGTTTGCTTTTATGAGACCATGCTGTAAAGGTCAAAGTAGAAATGACAGTTGTTAAAATTATTCAAGTGAATCAAACGGTCTAGATCAGACGAAATCCGTGATCATGCCGAGATGTCTTCAATAAAAAAATCAAAACGTTGTTTATCAGAAATTGCCGCTATAACGTTCGATCTGCATGTGGCTATTTTTAAAATAGTTCCACATCCTACTTCTTGTGACATTCTGGCTTTATGCGGAAAAATAAAAATTCACAAAGCTCTAATATTGTGGCCACTCAAGCGTAAATGACAACAAATAATCCACATTCGATATGATTCAACAAAAAGTTAACGCTAATGTGATTTAAGGTGAGGGAAATTTTTTCAGCTGAAGGAAGTGAAGATTCGGGCGCAAAGCTGGATTCTTTCATCACGTTATTTAGAAAAAGGCAAAAAAAATAAAAAATAAAAAAAAAGAAGAAGAATTGAAATTGACACTTGTCCGAGCCTCTTCATCTAAGTTCTGTACTCGCAATGGCTTAGTGTAGAGCAAAATTTTTTCTTTTCGTGAAGGAAATTTATGCTCGATGCAGAGCTTAGATTTAAGTTCAACTATTGTCCATACAAAAGGTTTCAGCCGGGCGCCATTCGTCTAACGCGATGAAAAAGGAGTTTTCGGTTCAAGTTTCTTTCCGGTAACCGAGCTATTTTTATCGGTAGTCAGCGCTCTACCTGAGCTGAGCACTTTTTTCCCGTCATGGCAAAGGCCTGGTTATTCAGTATTTTTCGCTTGCGAAGGTCGGATGATCAAAACGAATCACATTGTCAGCCACCTCCCTCCAATTGCTTTCATCTTCCTCCGCACAGAAACCATTGTTTTCTCGCAAGAGAAAAGTTATGGGACGTTATTTTTACTTATAGTTTTAGGGCAATCGCCCTGGAAGTTCGTTACCGTCGGAAATTTTCCCGGTTTTCAACCGTTTTCCCTATTAATCGTTTTTCTTTTTTTTTTCATTCATCCTCTTTCCCTTTGCGCTCGCTATTTTCAACCTAGCTTGTTTTTGTTTGTATCTTTCCAAGAGATTGTTCCCTTGATCTTATCGAATTGCAGCGATTAAGGTCGGAGGCAAAACGAGATACATACACTTTTGCTTTGTAAATTTCCACGCTCTGTGACTAGTTCAAAAAAAGCTTTCGCCGCCCTCTCATCCAAGTGGTTCTGAGGCACACACTCAAAAAGCGCCCTATCATTTTGTGGCTTCTCGCTCGCTGCGGCTTCTTTCCCGTTAACCTATTGTATTTGTTTTATTACAGGTAAGGAAGGTAGCCATGCCGACAGAATTGAGGAATGTTATGGCCGACGTAAATTCCTTGGACTCTTTCCTGCGAGCTATGAATGCTGAAAAGTTGAGAGCCGTCATAAATGCAATAGGGGTCCCTCGCGGAGGCACTAAAGGTGTGAGAAACTAGACGTTTTTAAGGGTGGTTCATTCATGTTAGCTTGTCATTACTTCCATTTGCAGTCATAGTCATATCAAGCCTTCAAAAGTAACTCTTCGTTATTTTAGCCTCTATGGAGATCAATGTTTATTTCTTACAAAGAGCTCGCTATAAAGGCCACTTCTCTACGAAAGCTAACTACTTTTACCTCAACTTTGCTGCTGATTAGTGCAAATAATAAGAGAGAAGGCGTCCCAAAAAGACGAACTTTCTGACAGGGCAATGTTAATTGTTCAATTCAATCTTAAATAGGAAATAAAGGTCCTTTTTTTTTCTAAAATGATAGAAGGGGAGAGAAGGGTAAAGTAGTCCGCCCATTGAGATCACTGCTGTTGTTTGACTGATCACTTGTCTTTTAATTTAGGTCTGCGACATAAGCCCAGGGGTTCTAGTGATCTGCATTCACCTAAGAAACGTAAGCTAACTTTTATTCTGATGATTTAAATTGAAAATCCGCCCACGTTTTCAGTTAAAGTTATTATTTTGAAAAAACCAAAACAAAAACAAAAACAAAAAAATGTGGTTTAATCCTGATACCATTCGTCTCAAAAACAGTTTCAAAACGGTCTGGCGATTTTATTGAACAATACCCGATAGACGATTGGCAGTGACTCTCTTGACAGAGAGACAGTCTTGGAAAACTAAATTTCGAAGCTTTGTTTGAATTAACCCTTTAACTCTCAAGATCTCATTAGTAATTCTCCTAACGGTCTGCCGTACAGTTCTTGTGACGTTACTTTGGAGACTTTGGTATCGAATCAACTTTTAATCCCCTAACTGATGATATTTTTGCTTATTCTCATCACTTGTCTGCTTGATATTGCATTGATATTGTAAGGAGAAATTCTATCTTGGTCACTTGTGGGAGTTGAAAGTTAAGGCATTGCTAATCTTTGATTATTTTCGCTTCATAGCTGACATTCCGAGCCAACTGGCAAGAGTTCTACAGGATTCTAATCTTCCCTATGTCATTTTGGATGATGCCCGTTGTGCTCCGCGTCCTGAGGTTATAGAAGTACCTCAGCCTAAATATGAAAATGCTTTCTATTTTCCTTTCTTTGTGACCTTACACCGTTGTGGCGGCTCCTGCGGCGCCAGGCCGTTTGAAACAAGTTGCCAACTGCAAGGTAAGTCAAATGGATCACTAGTTAAATAGCTATAGAGAAAGATGTTTTTCTGAGTCCTCATGCGGAATTCAACCTCAGACCTTCCGATTCCGCGCTCCTATGATCTACCTCTGAGCCACAGAGACTCTTTGCGAAGGTGAGCGAAGCCTATTACGAAGTTCATATGTCACACGTTCGTGACAAGTCGAAAAAACATGTTTCTCTATTTCTTTACCGAGCTCAAAACTTACCATCTCTCTATTTATTTATTTATTTATTATTTATTATTTATTTATTATTTATTTATTTATTTATTTATTCTTTACCGAGCTCAAAACTTACCATCTCTCTTACTCTATTTATTTATTTATTTATTATTTATTTATTTATTTATTTATTTATTCTTTACCGAGCTCAAAACTTACCATCTCTCTTACTCTATTTATTTATTTATTTATTTATTATTTATTATTTATTTATTTATTTATTTATTTATTATTTATTTATTTATTTATTTATTCTTTACCGAGCTCAAAACTTACCATCCCTCTTACTCTATATAAAAATTTAAACAACTGTTATTACTAAGCATTCAGTCTCACCCAAGAATTGAAATCTTAAGAGACCTGGATTCTGTTATAAGAGTACTCGGAGAAATAAAACCAAGAAAATTATTTGCGAGGTTAACCCCCTGGATCTGAATCAAATCCAAAAGTTCTCTATAAGAAAAACGGTCTAGAATTAGCGGGAGCGGATCCTTCTTCACTCTCTGGTTGGTTTAGAAAATCTCAGGAATGAGCTAAAACTATTCGTATTAGCTCATATATCTAGAGGTTTTGTCCAACTGCAAGTTTGCTCCAAACCACCTTTACAAGTTCACCCCTGAAGAAAAACAATTTCGCCCCCACAAACCCTGTCCCTTCTAAGTTCTTTGCTGCGCTTTGCTCTGATCAGCCAATCACAGAGCAGTTTTACGACACTCATTCGAAAAGCGCGTTACATATATGTTTTTTTCCTCACACAGAAAAAGAAGACTTCAACCTTCTTGTGAGTAAGACTTCTTGGTCTTCATCATCAGACAGACTGAACGAGACCTCAAATGAATTTACCCCAGTCCGCATGACGAATCACTCGAGTTGTTCGTGTCAATGTAAAGTTAAACCTTCTGATTGTGATAATCGAACCCAACGCTACTCTAAAGAAAACTGCAGATGCGATTGCATAAGGGGTTTTATGCCTTGTCGACGCAACTACCGCTGGGATCCCATAAAATGCCAGTGCATATGTAGTCCAAGTAATGCAGTTAGAGCCGAGTGCACAAAACGTCACGAGTTTGATATGGAATCGTGCCAGTGCACGTGCAGTAAGAAACGTTGCAAAAATCGTGCAAAGGTGCGTGATCCTAAGACCTGTAGGTGCAAGTGTCCCAGGTGCCCGTTCGGGTTGAAGGAGGATCCACAGTCATGTGCCTGTACACGAGCTTATAGAAGACGTCGACAACACTAAACCGAGTTGAGAAAGTCACGGGAAGACTTAAAGCAAAGTGCGATACGACACAAACGAGAACGAGGAGAAAAAATACCAGAACAATGGCTTGGGCAAGCTGCCTTCACTTGTTGCTAGAGAGGAGATCTGACGTCATTAGAGATCTTTAATTCAATGAGCTAAACTTGAAACTATTTAAGGGACGTAAACTTATTCTTTTGATCAACGCCCTCTCGACGTCGCTGTCGTCAATGCTTTAAATCCCTATAAACTTTTTATCGTGAGTGGAAACGAAAAAAGAGGGAAATCAGATCTATTCCAATCAGTCCTACCACGATCATTTTATAATCAACAGCCACAGGATCATAATTTACCCTCCGTAACTGGAAACTGAATAACGGTGACCGTTTGATACCGAACACTGAACGGCTTTGAGTAATTTTCAGGCAAATTGCATGATCTTACTTTGATTTCTTATTGGTTCGTTGTGATATTTTCCTTAATTTTGATTTGCTGTCGTGATTACGACATCTAAATTAGATTAAGACGCTCTCTAAATCTTCTATGACCTTTTATTATTGTATCTTATATATTTATAGGAATATATTTGTAGTTATCATATGTAATTAGTAGTTTTTATTGTAAGACAGCATTGTTAGTTAACATTAGAACCTCTTTGCTGAATGGGCTACCCTGAATAAATAAAGTTTATCATCTTAAATCACATCACATCACGTCAATCAAAATTCACCCTGTAATGAATCGCTACTGACTAACATTGAAAAATGCAATTTTGTCAATACATCTTTGTTTTATGTCGATGTAGACCTCTTAATTGTAATTATTCGATAAATAATGCTTGTGTAACCTTGAAAATATCAATCAAATCAAAATATCTAAGATAAAATAGATGAGAAAATCAGGTTATCAATAGGGGAAATATCAGTGGAGATAAACTGAGGTTAAAGATACATATGAAACTGACTATACTGTGCAACTCTTAAAACCGCGATCATCAAAATATTTGTTGAATGTCATTGTGTTCCAGGGAAATATTAAGTAAAAACTTAACGGTCCAGTGGTTTGTGGTTTGAAGTTTGCTCACGTGTTTTGATCTTTGTTTTGATGTGCCAGAACACTTGAATGAATGAAAATGAAATGAAATCAAAGTGTTTACAGTTTTGAGAGTCACACAGTAACTCATGACTTGCGAGGCATAGATCGCGCTCCTCCAAAACTGACGTCTAATTAAGTCATAATATAGTGGTTTCTTTCCAAAGTTGCCATTGTCTCGAACGAAAATCAGCTCTTCAACAGGGATGGGGTTAAATTTAGTTATCTACAAATTGACTGAGGTGAAACTCGATCGAAAGTAAGACCATGGCGAACGACACTTTAAGAATAGCTTTATTCATGTTCACTGAATCTTTCATTCTCCATATCTGCCGGCAACAAGAAAACGCCGGGTCGTCTTACTCAAATGACACGTTTTCTTCCAGGCATCTGAGAAAAGTTTTAAGGCATTTCATTCCATTATGATGCTGGATCGCTTTGGTGTAGCATCCCTCAAACTTGTTCTCACAGGAGCTCTGTACATTGAAAGAATACAGAATCTAACAGTTATTAGCCTGCGCAGCAAATGTAATTTTAATGTACAGGAGCTCTGTACATTAAAATAATACAGAATCTTACAGTTAATATATAGATTTAGCCAAGCCTAAAAGCGGAGCTCGCATTTTTTTTCCCGCACGTCTTAAGGGCACAACGCCTTGCCTCGGCCAGGACTAGAACACGGGTCGTCCGACTCGGAGCTCAGTGCACTGACCACTAGATTACTGGTCAAAGCCGTGGCTTTGGTGTTCCCGCGGTACAGTTGACCACGCATGGTAAAAGTAGCATCTTGTACGGTCGGTCGTACGGTCGTAAGTCCAAATTTTTTCGGCTTGATGGGTTACTACTATTTTGTATAATTATGGGGCTACGCTCTGCGAGCTCTGCTATTAAACCTGCACAGCAGACATAATTTTAGCGAGCGAGTACTCAGTATTCAGTCTTAGTGAAAATTATAGCGGCCAGCAGAGATTTTTACTGCAGCGGAAGGCTCAGGAGAGAAAAGAAACTGTATCAAGGCGGTCAGTGGGCGACGGTCAAAAGGTAGGGGAGCGGAGGGGATGGGGAACATTTGTTTTTAACTTGCTTTGTCCTCATCTCTTCTTGGTCACCGTTGAGAGGTCTGACTTCTTCGAGAACCTGTTTTTAAATGGTCGACGACCTTTACCCCTGATCTTGGCTCGGTACCTGATTAGTGTAAGGAGGGGGTAGGGGAAAGAGGTGGGGGAGGGGGAGGGGAGGGGAAGTTGTAGCTATGGACTAGCACATGAGCTAGTGGAAGGAGAGGATATCCTCAGTTGCAGTTTCATGTCAAGGGAACTTGGATAAATTGATGTAATTATGAGGTCTTGAGTTGATGTCGTTATGACTTTGAAGCGGAAAGTTTATCAAGTAAGTAGGATGAGGTACTTACGGCCGCGGGAGGAGGATTCAGGTCTGTGTGGAAGTCTTTGAAGCACTGTTTCAGTTTTTTTGTGTCCGATAGACATTTATGCAGCTTCGTTAGACTTTCCTGCAATACAAACATCAATAATGAACACATTGGATTGATCTCAATTGACGTTGACTTTTGATCTAAGATCGCCTTTTTCGATTGCGTGTCGTAAAGCTAAAACCGCATCAGTCGTGTACAACAGCCAATCAAAGCAAATGAAAATATCGAAATACGCTGATGGAAAATCAAAGTAAAACAGGTTAACTGCCTAAAGCGCAGGAAAATAGGAGTGACCAAATCGCGATTGGTTTCAGTTTTGAATCGGGTTGGTTTGAGAAGGAGGCGCGGGTTTTTGAGACTAATCTCCGCGCCGAGTAAAGAAAAACCAGATGCGTGTTCCGATTATTTTCGACTGACAATTGAAAACTGTTCTATTGAATAAACTCAGCTCACTATGCCGTAAGTTGATGCCAAAAGGGGCGCTGCGTTGGCATGCAAAACTGGCGCGATCAATTTTGCGCTTTCAAGTGATCGAAGGCATATATCAGTATTGTTCCTCTCGCTTGTCATCCGCGTCTATCGCGTTCGCCTCGTTCTTCCCTGGACTCGTCACACTGAAAACTACAAAACGACTACTTCGCTGCGAAATCAGTGACTAAAGCCAAGATATGGAAAAAATTTTATGAATACGTGCAGTTTTAAGGGAATAAGAGTAAACCGAAACACCACATTCAGATAATATATACTGAATTTCATAACTGTTCGTGTATTTCAAAAGCTAGTAAGTATAATACAACCAAACCAATAATGGGCAATCTCAGGCCTAGTTCCTCTTAAAGATAAAAAAAAAAATCAGAAGGTTGAAAAGGCCATTCAAAGGGAAAAATCGAAGAAATCTGAAAATGGACAAGCTTAAAAAATGTGAAATGCGGTCGGCCCGAAATAATAATCCTAATTTGTTGCCGTGTGTTATTCTTACAATAATCACAATTGCACCTTGTTTGTAACGAGGAGTTCTCAATTCAATTAAAACGATAATTTTTCCCTAATAGGATGACCTCTCTCCTTTCAGAAGCGAATTTTTTTAAAATTACGACAGTAGCGAGTTTAAACATGAAGCTATTAGGAACGGTATTCAGTAAAAACGAACTCAGATTTCACTCACTATTTCAGTAATACTTAATAAACCCTTAATAAAAAAATAAAAAAAAAAGATTCCTTTTTCGTGGTAAAAGTGGATATTTTCACCTCAGGAAGCCACGAACTTTACGCATTCGTTTTCTTAATCACTCTTGTCCTTGTTTGTAATACTTACGGCTATCAAGTCTTCGATCTTTCTTTTCATCTCTGGATCTTTCAGCGGTGCATCTCTCTTTATATCTACCATGTGCATGGCTGTCGTGATGCCAATAACGGCAAAGGATAAAATAACCAACATTAACTTCATTGCAATTCCGAGCAGTTAGGTTACGATTTTGTAGTTAGTAAGTTGAACGTTCACGAAAATGTTATCTTAACCGTAAAAGCGCAAACTTTTGGATTATTCATGTACCTATTCGATTATTTGATCACCTGTTAGTTATAATGCACATAATCGTCACTTTTTGGAGCTATTTATTTGTAGATAGTATCTAAGGAAAAAAAGGCTTACATATTTCGGAATAGCTGAATTCGTCACGATCTCTAAAATGTCTTGAAATTGGCTCCTTTTAGAGGGAAAGGCCAAATAATTGAAAGTCGTTCGCCGTGCTGAGCTATAAAGAAGAGAGCAACCGCGCAAGGGTTCAAAATTTCGTCACAGATGGAATGTTAATAAGATCAATCCAAGAGTGCTTTGTAGAATTAGTTTATCTTTAAAGAAACTATCACGAATCAAGGCATGCTTAGTTTAACACCAAGAAATATTTCAGTGAAAATAAGTGCCAAATCTATTAAATTTTTTATTTCAGATATTTGTAACTGTAAATGATTATTCGTTTTTGAACGATTGAGTGCATAAGAAAGACAACAGCTGTGTGTTTTACAGGAGTCTGAAATTGTTTATCCAGCTGTTATAGTCTGTGAGAGGAGCTTTTGGTGATAGCCAGTTTTAATTTTTTTTCGAAGAAAAGCAATTTGTTACATAGATAGTGATGAAATACCAGGATTTTTCTTTTTACTTAAAAATCATATCTTCATCGCGCGCAGTGAAGATACTATTTTTATCTTTCACGTGTGAGGATATTGGTGTCGCCATGGTTACTAACAAGATTAGCCAATTACAAGAGAGCTTCCCGCTCAGGTGCGCGGCCGGTTCTTTTGCTGTTTCGAAAATGAATAAACAGAACATCACATGGCCGCTTGGGGATACGAATCTTATCTTCTCGTGCTGAAAGTATCTCACGAGTCTCACGAGAGATACTAAGACTAACTTTACGTTACGCCGGTTTTACTCTTTGAACTTCTCTATGTTTTCCACATACAGTGGAGCCTGTATATATGTATATATATATATATATATATATATATATATATATATATATATATATATATATATATAGAGAGAGAGAGAGAGAGAGAGAGAGAGAGAGAGAGAGAGAGAGAGAGAGAGAGAGAGAGAGGAAAGGCACGTTTATTTCCCAAGTTCTTCTACACTTTCAAATCTCTTAAGCCTATGAATTAGATCACTAGCTGACAAGTTCTCCGGATTTGGCTACAAATATACCAAAAAGAGCCAAATTTTTTAAACTTCGTGTTTCATGTCAAATGTTATGTCTAAAGTTTTTTGCCATCTCTTTTCTCAAATCGGTGTGGAAAGCCAAGTATGTATGGAATGAATTTGTTCAAGCACTTTTAGAGAGAATGCAAATTAATAAGAATTGCGATGTTGAAGGTTATTCATGAAAATTGGGGCACCCCGCATATAGTATTGTGCCACGTTGAACTCTTTTGAACGGTTCACAAAGCCTTTAGTTCCGGGAGACATTTATCCCGTGTTATTATGCCATAATGGCCACATTGGCACACACTGCCAAAGGTTACCCGCGGTTTTTGCAGCATACTGATCTTCCTGCAAGGGCTAATGGCCCGTCACATGAGAACTCTCCGTAATAGAGCAAGGCTTTCCCGTTAAAAAGCCAGTATCCATTATTATGCTCTTTACTAAGGAGATTAAATGTGAGAGGTACGTGACTTGTGTAAATACTTTGTGAGTCTAACTTGATAACAACAAGACCATAAGCCGAGCTCGCTTTCATCGTCTCTAGAACTGGCAGTAGCCCTCTGCTAACTAGCAACTATAGAACATTTAAAAAATTTACTAAAAGTAAAAAACTACTAGCCACAAGGCTATTAGCCCAGCTCATGTTTGTCGTCTCGAGAGCTGCCAAAAGCCCTCGCTAAGCAGCAACTTTAGAAGATTTAAAAACTTTACTTTAAATGAATCTTTTCTTTCTAGGCGATATATTGTACATTGAGAGCAAGTCACAATAAGCCCTGATTGACGCAAAAATATTACGCAGGAGTTTCTGTTTTGAAGATTTATTTAGCTGTAGGCAATTGTCTTCATCTACACTATAAACACAACTTATAACTTGCTATTCCTCGATGGTGTTTGTGACACATAGTGTACACCATGGCTAAAAAGGAAATTTCAACTACATTCCAGAGCCATCTGCTTCGTTTTTCATGCAGTCTTTGAAATCCTGCATGCATTTCATAGGTTTGTGCCCCTTTGGTGCTCCTATACATTCCTGAAAACTTTGTTCGGCACATTCAACCTGGGAAAGAAACGAACATAACTGAGCAAGGTAACCCAAAGAAAAAAAGGAAAAATAAAGGATGGAAACAAGGAAAAGAAGAAATGAAACGGAAAAAGAAAAGGAATGAAAGAAAAGAAAAGAACAGACCAGAAATTATGAATTATAGAGTGGAATAAATGGGGTAAGTTTTTAAGGAAACTGTAGTGCTGTGTCGGTGGTGGAGTATTGACAAGATAAGTTAGTTTTATCAGACTTACCACTAGAGGTTCAAAGCTGACGTTTCAAGCGTGGGCTTTTCGCCATTTGCTCTGACGAAGGATTAACGTCAGAAACGTCAGCGTTAAACCTCTTTACGGTGACCAACTTACATTATCGATCAACTCAATTGATAAAACCAAATTATGTAGTGGAATAGTTGAGTTCAGTCTTGAGAAGTGTAGTTTATGGTATGGTATAATTTGTTATATATATATATAGGATTTCTGACTTGGATCACTGAGGTTTTAAGTATTGCCAAAAGTTTAACAAATAGATACCATCTAGTGGTACGTCCGTTCAATAATTAGCACACGAGGGGGGGCAGTCCATGCTTATATAATAAAGAAATAAAAATGGTTTATTATGGTGACCTCAGTTACGGGTCTGTCCTCCAATAGATCACGAATAGGAATCAGCTTATCATATAAACTTTGATAGATGTCAAGGTCGTAGAGCAGCAGAAATCGAGTGATTCTTGAAGGAACGGTGTCTGAGAAATAAGTTTACTTTAAATAAAATTACTTACCACTCTCTCTACATCGGGGTGATTGTTAGGCAGTGCTTCTCTAAATTTCCTTTTACATTTCTCTTTCATCTGACCATCTTCTTCTCGGAAACAACCCAACAAAAGTTCTACGGCACCCTATGGAAAATGGAATAGTGCATGATTAACCTCGCCTTAGTCCTTCTCTGAATATTTACTTTGACGTGAGAACAGGATAATAAACCTTCCTTTAAAATGGCGATCGAGAAAACAGCATTTCTCTTTGGTATCGTACCTATTGTCTGTTGTTAGAATGAAATGGAGGTTACATCAGGTATACGAGAAACCCAAAATTTTGTAAAAAAAAAACTTGCAGGTCTTCATAAATCTATTCTGATTTAAGTGAGATCACCGGGAATATACATTATAAGGCAGATTAGCAAGATTCATTTAATAGAGAAAAGAAAACACTTTAAAATGCTTAAAAAAGTAAGTGTTAATGGAGGCAGTCCAAGATAAAAGGAGAAGAGTACAAACGCCTTTGATTTTATCCTAGAGAATTGCTCTACTAAATGTCGGCCAGAAGCCTACTTTAAGTAAACCAGGTGCAGTCGAAGGATTGTTATAATATGGTCTTAACACATGTGCCCAGTATTAACATTACTTGCAATGGCGGTATTACTTAAAATATTTAATTTTCTTAGAAAAGCAGCAATGCCCACAGCACTAACCATAACATAAAGTATTAACATTACTTACACATTTTCGAACAGTATCAGCATTAGTCGAAGGTAACTGGTAGCAAAAGCTCTTTCAAATAAGATAAACCCCGAATCAAGACAATATGAAATAAAATGAAATGAAACATAGATCACTCACATTCAGAGATTTTACTGGCTTTGGCCTATGTCTCATGTGTGGGTCTTCAAGCTGCCATGGCTCAAGTTCATTGAGTTCATCTTCCAAGCCCTCTGACAAGTCTTCTTCCGTGAGATACCTTCCCTTCACAAACGCTACAGAAGCAAAGAGTAAAAGACAACTCACGAGGCTGATTTTCATCTTGTGTCGCTTAAGGTCGTGAAATTTAATGCACTCCAGTGAACCTTGTTTAGCTGATGTCCGGTGCAATTCTTGAAGAGAGTGCAGATTCTGCTGTCTCGCAAGAGTGAGGCATGGGTGATGGGATCGAATTGGAAAACTTTTGTGTACTCAGCTTGCCAAGGGGTATGCTCATTACCATAAATTTTGTTTCTTTATTGAAATTAACAGTAAAAAATTGTATTTCCTTTATAAGATATTCCTCTTAAGCCTAACTGTAATGATGTTTGGATTCACAAGAAAATGAACAAAACCAAACTTCCATACATTCCCTATGTGTTTGTCAAGGTTTCAACTTAATTGACTTCAAAACGTGTCCTAATTTCAATAGAAATGATATTAGTCTTACTGTAACAAAATAGAGTGTTGGGCATTTGAATGGACTAGTTTTAATTTTGTAGCATGAGTTTACTTTACTGATTCCATGGTATGTGCTGTTTGAAATTGAAAAAACGCTCTGTTTCTTTCTGTGACCTTGAGGACATTAGATTTTTTTGTTGTCTAATTTTTCATCAGTTATGTCCTTCAATGTATTATTGACTTACTCGCTATAAATCACATCTTAATTACTCATGAGGATGTTAACGCACTATCTTTTACCAAAAGATTTATGAGTCGAAAAACATTTCAAGTGTCATAGGACCAAGGATGAAAGTGGAAAAGCTGCGGATATTTTTCATTTAAAACACTGTGGATGAGATATAATTTTGAGCAATTTATCTTGAAAAAAAGTTTTAAATTTTCAATGTGTGAAAGAAGCAGCTGCTTCTCGACTTCAGGTGGAGGAGATTTAGGCAGCTGTTACATGATATTGTTTCATCGTGTCGATAATACAAAGGCTTTGATTGGTCAATTTCACATCATGTCGCGTCTCGCTGCATATTCCTTCTTTTTGCGCTCATGAAAATTCTTCCTTTGTACGATTCAGGACATCTATGTTACTATGGTTACTGCCATATCAGATAGTAAGGGCTGAGCATCTTGTAGGACTCCAGCGCAGTCGCTTTAAAACTTGGTTTTTTCATGTTTCAAAATTATGTGGGTCAAAACTTTAAGAGGAAAGCGCCTTCCATTTTGAAATTTCTCCAGTATTGAAACAAAGATTGATTTTTGTTTAAAAGAGCAAGTCACTGTAAAAATTTGTTAAGTCACGGAAAAGCTTCAAGCGTTGATGTTTCACAAAAATTGGATATCCATACAGTGATCAAGATATGTTCGTGATATTGGCGATTGATTGTCAGAAACAGTAGCCAAAAGTTGTGATATGTATCAATTTCTAACAGTTCTGAAGTCTCATTAAATATTTCCGTTTAGCAAGTTGATCTCTCGTTATTGCTTGACGTCATAGCAGCCATATAAATGTACCACAGAGACTATGAAGAATCTAGATTTCGCTTAATTCAGTTTGCATAACCGCTCACTTGGTAAGCGAAAATGCGAAAGAGCAGTACTGGCTTTGTTCAGCTGAATTCTTCACACAATGCCGACGAAAGAAAAAAGATTTTTCTCGTACGAATCTGGACTTCCAGCTTCTCGTTAAGGCTAATTTATGGCTTTATGGATGTATAAAAGTCAGCAAATAGAAAACCAACTTCTTTTCCTCTTTCTCATTAATAATATGGAGATATGCAAAAGTTGTTGGCTGAGCGTTATTCATCTTTTACAAGCATTGCTTTTTCATAATCATAACTTCCACAATTGTCAGATCACTGGTATTTTTTTTTCGTTCAAAATGGACTATTCAAATTCATTGTGCTGATTAAGCATACACTCAGCTGCATTTTCATTAACGGCTTTATGGAAGGTAAATATGAAACTATACTATAAAATTACGTTATTCACTTCTTCCTGTTTGTGCACCTGAAAATGTTTGCCAAACAAACCAACTATCTCATTATGAATGAACAAATTTTATGCCGCAGTCCCCCGGACGCAGTCTCACAAACGTGCCGAACGTTACACAAACTGCCATTATCTTCGGAATTTACAATTGGTATTTGTATGATATTTTCCTTGGTTCGAAATGCGTCAATATACGTAGACTTTTCATGCTTTGTCCGCAATCATACCGTGCGCCAAACCTGGCGAAAACGATCCTAAACACTCGTTGTTTTAACCCCTAAGTTTTAGACACTGAAAAAATAACACCGAAACAAAAAAGCCTCAGTTAATATCAGTGTCAACTGAAAATTCAAATTGGTAAAATGACGTTTATCAAAATAATAAATAATTACAAAGAGAGGAAGAAATTAATTAAAATCCTGATTAAGTAACGCAAGGAAGGCTTCTTAAACACGAATCCACTTCATTCGCTTTTTGAATACAGTCAATCTATTTAAAATCTTTTTAGAATTCATCTTATCTTAAAATCAGCCAGATATCTAAGGCTGCATTTCACACAAGCAGTAGTAAAAAATCTGCTCATCTGACGTGAAAAGAGAGTTTTTCTTTGGATAGTCAATAGTATTTCTGACATCAAAGTCATCCGCAGTGGAGCTAAGATGTTTTAAGTTTGTGGTGGATTCTGAAACAGTTTTATTTGTGAGAATGTTTTTTTAAGTTACCTGACAGCCCTGCTATCGTTTAACATCAGTTTGCTATGAGCAGAAAATGAAAAGGTTGTTGCCAGCTTCATGGCTGGAATATAGAGGATTAACCTTTCATAACGAAGAGAATACGAACGAAATAAATCCCAGTTTACATGTCAGGAACGCATGCAACCAAAGTCTCATTTGCATGGATCCAAAAAAATACAGTCGAACTTGCATTAAGCGGCACCGTAGTAAGCAGTCACCCTGTATTAAGTAGACGGTTTTCAAAGTTTTTCCAATGATTTTTCATCCAATGATTTTGTCACGAAAAAGTTGACGTCATTGGGAGCCTAGTGACAAACGATTTTGAGTCGCGGACGGCATCCGGAGGATAAAAGTTCTTATTTCTAGTGTTCCCTACAACCTTTTGGTCTGCAAAATTTGGTTGAAATGCTAAAATGATGAATAAGATAAAATGATAGTCGATGCATTGACGTCAAAGCGTAACAGAAGTAATTTTATTTATCTTTAGGTTGCCGTCTTTTTTCAGAAACGTCTCCGCTTAATTTCTCTGATAGTTGCAGAAAATTTATAGCACTATTTGCTTTAAAACGAGTTCCTTTTTTATTTAGAAACACTGGAAATAGTTAAATTTTAATGTGAAGACAGCGCGTCGATGATGAAAAATAATGTATGTGAACTATAATATTTCACTTGCATTTTTTACTAGAGCATAATTTACTCGCGTTTTGCCAACTGTTAAACGTGATCTCGCGCAATTCATTGCAAAAATTGAGTATCGGCCTTAGTCATTAAATAAGCTAAATGTCACGAACGAAGAAAAATCCCTGAGAAATTCACAACTGGTGTTGTTTAGGTTGATTGAGCATTGTTTGCATAGCTGCTGAAGACCTGATTGGGATAGAATTCCTCTGTAATTAGTGTACCCAGCTGAGTTTTAACGAACTACTCTCAGAGTTAATGGAGCGCGCAGTTCTACTCTTGGTCATACTGTCCGTTTGACCAAACGTGGATTTTGATATGGGGAAAATGAACTTCCCCGTCGTACTTTTATTTTTGGCGTTTCTCCAATTTATCACTGCTCAAGATTGGCTGAAAGTCTCTAAGCAGGAGCTTTTGGATCTCAGGAATTCATTCAATGCTTTTGAGAGTAAGAAATCCGACATTGTGTTCTTGGTTGACACTTCGGGCAGTTTATACCGAAGCGAGTTCGACGAAGAAAAAAAATTTGTCATGAATTTGCTCAACGAGATGAGCGTAGGTATGCAAGCCAACCGCGTGGAGGTGATTCCGTTTGGAACCTCAGCTACCAAGTTCATCACCCAGATTTCAGACCCTAAGCCAACGAAGAACAAGTGTACATTTAACGAAATATTCAACCCAATGCAGCAGAGTATTAATGGGTATATGACGAACATGAGAGATGCTTTTGAGCTAGCATGGCAGGTTTGCCTCAACAACGCGTATAAGAGAACGCCCCTGACTGAGATCAAAACTGTCGTTATTCTCCTTACCGATGGTTACTGGAATTATCCTTACAATGATCCCAGTCCTTTGCAAAGAGCACGGGAATTGGTTACAGGCACTGTTGAGATTTTTGCTATAGGAGTTGGAAATGGGGTTAATCAGGCAAACCTTAGGAGCCTTGTTGATCAGAATAGCATAGACAAGCACGCCTTTTTCTTGCACGACTTCAACGAATTTGCGGAACTCGCAACCTACATTAGAGGAGGTAAGTTTAGTCTTGCGCAATTTTAACCAAAACATAGGAAAAAAAACTAGTGCACATCTGTGACCTGGATTTACGAAATTAAATGATCGAGCCGAACATTTCATACGATTTAAACCTTTATCGTAACCATTACAATTTCCTCAAATGTGATTAATACATTAGCCGCTTTTTTTCACTGATCATTCTGAACAGTTGTAATCTGACAGTTGGCTGTAATCGGACAGTTGAAGCAGCCAATCATACTAGGTTCACTCAGCTAAATCCATGGCCACCAATAATAGAATTGATCACAATAACCATAGCAACAACCACCTATTAAAAAAAGAAAAAAAAAAGAAAAAAAAAAGCATTAGGGAATTTCCAAATTGAAGACATTTTTACGTTAGACATTTCTCTACCGGAGATGTTTGTCCTAAATGTATTTGTCATTTTTTTTTCAGAAATTTTAACAGTTATGATTAACTGGTAACAGGACATCTTGTCGTTTAATTCTTTCAGTAATCATACGAGTAATAAACAAAATCAGACGAACGCGAAGCGGGAGTCTGATTTGTTAATCACGAGTATTGGAGTCCATTCAATCCTATATTGCCATGATTTACAGTCGAGGAGCAAATCTCTGCACGCGCTTTAAAGATTAAAATCATAGCACTTCATCATATGTACAAAAGGTTTGCATCCATGTCATGATGGATTTACAGCGATCATGATATGAAAAACATTTTACATAAAGATGAATAAATACGCAATATATAATGTTACGTTATTTTATTTGTTTGTTAATCAGACATCAGATATGAACTAAAATGTTTCCCTTGTCTTTTAGACCCTTATGAATACTTATGGCAAACTGAAAATGTGGACACGTCAAAATGCAACGGCAATTGTGATCCCTCCGCCTATTGCTCCTGCGGGTTGGTGTATGGCGACTACAAGTGCTCATGTCCCGCGGGATTCGCGGGATCTGGATACGTGGGCCAATGTAAAGGTACTTACTGAGTAGTTTAAAAAGATACTGCGCCCCCCTTTCTGTGTGATAAGTCTCAAGTAATGTGCAGCTATTTTGGACTAATTGGGTCATTTTGAAAGCAAAGAAAACAAAATTAGCTTTAAAAATGGAACGGGTGGCCAAATTGGAGGAAGTTTCGATAGATGAACACACTTATGAAAAATGGTAAAAGTTTTAGCCTGGTCGTCGAATTATTAGCTGAGAAAAAGAAATGTCATCAGCCAGAATAATAAATGTCCGTTAATGAGAATTTTCCTCATACTTCTCTAGATACACCTGGCTATGCTAAAAAAACCCCTCAAACTCTACATTTACCACGAAGCTGAAATACAATGATATCCCGCAGGACGCACAATTGATCAAATCAAACCTTACTTTTGCAATGACTGTGACTGCCCTCATAATGTAGAAGCGATGCTTTATATTCTTAGATGGAAGCGTAAATATTTCCTCTAGCCTTGAGCCAGGTTAAAAGCCTTTAAAAGACTTAATCCCAGAATTCTTCAAACGATAAGTCTGACCGTGAATTCTTTCCATTTTTCATTGTAAACTAGCATGCCCAGCCTCCACCTACAAGTCATTCCTTGGCTACGCACTCTCGTGTACAGCCTGCCCTGTCAACTCAGGTCATTCGAAAATCGGCAGCATTACAAGGGGTGATTGCAAGTGCTTTGATGGATATGAAGGAACACCTGAAAACGGAAACGATTGTACACGTAAGTCATGTGTGATCCATGCTATCGTAATAGACTACGAGCAGTCCTTGCTCTTCGCTCTTCTTCTTCTTCTTAATAATAATAATAAGAAGTCAGTTAATAACAAAAAGAAAAACTACATATTAGTGCGCTATGGAAGTAAGGCGTTCCGATCTTTCGGCTCCTGTCCAATAAAGTTATTTTCTTTTGACAGTCCGCAGTTGTGATGCACTGACAATTCCCGCAAACGGCGCCCTACAAGGAAACTGCTATCGCACGTACGGATCAAGCTGCACGTTTGCGTGCAATGAGGGATTTGAACTAGGAGGAACACCCACAAGAACATGCACTGTCGACGATGAAAATAAAATTTTCTATAGTGGGACTCCTTGGACATGCACAGGTAAAGTGAAATATCACATATATCAAAAGGTTAATCACAATTACGCTAAGAGCTCCAGATTTCAACCATGTTGTCGTCGATGAGGAAGAAGCTCGAGTGAACCATCACACAAGTAAAATTGAGAGCGAATAATCTAATAGTCATCCAGAACTTAACGAAAAGATGGGCCCACTTTTTTTTTCTTCCTTTTTTTGTAACCGCACGCAATGAAAAACTGCACTCTTTATTCATTCCTTATCACCGCACGGATTGTATGGCGGGTAGCGAAGCCAGTCAGTTTGCAGCATAGGTAATAGAACGCAGATAATTTTTTTCTAAACTCGGATTTTCGCTATACAGTAGCATTTTTTCCCTTTGGTCTCAAGGGCGTGTTCCTTAAGGAAGGGAGGGTGGACTATTAACAGCCTAAAATATGAAATTTCGTCCTTAGCGGGCATTTCCTTTTTTTTTTCTTCAAAATTGGCATGTTTTGGAATAGGACGTATCCTAAGGAAACAACAAGATATTTGTATCATTCTCCCCAAAGATAACTATCAAAAAGAGAGCTAATCAAAGACAGCATTCTCGTGTATGACGGCCATTCCGCCTATGATTATGATGTAACGGAAACATAAGCAACGTAGAAGACAAGCCAACGACGCTAAGTTTTGTACAAATAAGACTTCTAAAACAGTGAAAACATGTCTAACCTAAACCGTTGTTGTCGCTGATTCGTCAATAGTTATTAGGTGCCCAGCGCAAAAAGTGGATTATGGAGAGCCTCCATCGGGTACATGCACCGATGAACACGGAAACGAAGTGGCAGACTTAGTATATGGAACAAAATGCAGTTTCACATGCAGAAGTGACCGCTACCGCGTAGGAAATGAATTCAACACATGTCAGCTGGATAAGACATGGTCACCAACAGCTCCCAGTTGCGAACGTAAGAGATTCAAACAGTTACTTGATTGAGACGCTGTAGAAACAATCTTAACCCAATGAGAGATTATCAAGTACATAGATTTTCAGCTTAGTACATTATCGGCCACTCTGCCTCTGTGGAGACGGCCGGAGTGGCCGACTTGTTGGGGCGCTGGTCTTGTTTGGTAGTCTCAGGTTCTCGCCCTCCGCCCCGCTACTCGCCAGATTTGTTTTCAGTTGCCCTGAGTTCAACTCCTTGCCTGCTCTTTGTATGGATGTACAGCTAACCAGTCTGCCTCCTGCCAATTGGGGTTCTAAGACACTATGTTCATTCCCTATGTTTATTTGTTTGAATGAATTATTTCTAAATTTGTCAACGCATAGAGAATAGTGAAATGTATCCTGCGAAATGTTATCGTAACAGTTGTTATTTTTATTATCATTGTTATAAACCTTTATTATTTATGTAACCAGGCGTATGACTGTAAGTTTACTTTTTCAAGCGATTACATGTCCTGCGTTACCCAAAGTGCCAGTTGGTACGTACAACCCATCAACCTGTGACAATGGTACCATGACTTACCCATCGAGCTGTGAGCTGATATGTCCATCTGGTTACCACATAAATTATCTACCAACAGCAGTTGGGTCTGACTCAAGATCCTGCTTGGTAAATGGGACTTGGACGTACAGGGAAACTAGCCCGGAATGCTTAGGTATATTTTTTTGTACTCTACAAAGAAAATATGCTACCTATTTTTGAATTATCATGTATGTAACGTAATCTTCCAAGTTCTTTATTTAGAATCCGTGTTAGCCCTTTACATTTAGCAATAGTATTCATATTCTCCGCAACGGTTTTTTTAAGTTGCTAATGGCGTTTATAGGGAGAATTTGTCTGAAAATCAGGAGTTCTTTAAATTAATGATCATTCCCTTTAGGTGATTGAAGGAGCAATCTTTATTATCCATGTCCATCTTCTTTCCTCGATGATTTTTTTCCTCTTCAATCTTCAATCTGCCTGTTGTGAAGTGATTACCTACGGTGCTCAAATTGGTGCAAAACATCGTGTAGTGTTTCCTCTAAGTTCAAGGGTGTAGCTGGGGGAGGGGGTTCAGGAGTGCCCGTGACTCCCCTCCCCTTTTAGTTAGCTTTTTTTTTCACATTTAATAGAACATAGCGTGGAGGTTGACTTAACAATTTGGTGAGTACCCTATGGTTGACTTTGTGCGACCCCCTCCCCCCACCCCCTCTTTGAAAAATCATGGTTACGCCATTGAAGTTACATTGTAAAATCAACATTTCCCCTTCTTTCTCAGATTTTCAACCACCTTCATTTGGCAACAGCTGCCCGACACTTTTGGAGGTAAACAACGACCCGGGAAAAAGCGTAGCGACAGTAACCTGGAGTGTAAGTTGGACCGACAATTCTTTAATAGCGGACGAGCCAGGAATAACCGTTGACTCGTTCCCGGTCGTCTTGACAATAAATGACAAGAACGTAGACACAAGTCTTCCTAAGCTGATTGGTATCGGTTCAAACAGTGTGAAGTATGTCATCACGGATGACGCAAAGAATTCTGGTTCGTGCTCCTTTACCGTTGTTGTTGCAGGTGAGTGCTAGCTTTTTCATGACTGGTAAGAGTATGCACAAGAGAATAAAAAGAGTTGTGTACGTGGTGCAATAAATTTGCATATAAAAAGACTAAGTGTACCGTTAACAGCCAGAGGGAACACGAAAGTATTAAATTATATAGAATTAAAGATTCGCTATAAGTTGTACCTGCCGCCCAGGGCTGTGTTCAACAACCAGCAGATATTGATGTGACCACGATTTTTCCATATACAAGTCGGACGGGACAGATAAAGATGTTGCTTGCACGGAAAGAAGAGACCTTAAATTTATTGTTATATGTGTGGAGTAACCTTACAGAATATCACTGCATGGACGAACAGGTGAAAAAATTTACCAGAAAAGCAGCTGTTTGCGAGACACACGTGGTGGTCCCTGCCATTTCAGTTCATTTCTGGGACGTTATGGGTTTAGGTTCCTCAGTTTTCATAATGCAGGCTTCCATTGTCGGATTTTAAGCACAACTTACGCCAATTTAAAACAGTGTGAGTAGTTAATTGCCATTCATACTTTTGAATGGCGAAAAAAGATATTCCACCGTTTCTTTGGAGCGGAGCTTACTTCCCCTTTAATCTTAATTTGCATGTCAAGATCCCGCACTAAAATCGAGTCTACCCAATATCATTGCACTGCTCTCGTTTTTGTAGATACCGAGCCACCAACTTGCGGCTACTGTCCGACCGACATCACCATAGACAACGCTACCGAAATTGAAATCAGAGTCAATTGGGACAGGCCCAATTGTACGGATAACTCTGGCAATCCACCAAACATCAATTCTAACAGACAATCTGGTGACCTGTTCAGTGTGCCAAGTTCTAGCGAAGTTGTCTATACTGTAGACGATGGCAAAAACGTGAACAAAAACTGCTCATTCAGAATAACCCTCAAGAGTGAGTATCTTGCTTAAAAGTTAAACGAATGTTTGAATGAATACCTCCTTAACAGTGCCTCCATCATAAAATATTTCTGGCACAAAGGGTTTTTTTCATTTCTGGGAGTCCTATGCCAGCCTGAGTAGATTAATTCCAATTAAGGTCTAAATCCTAGACATTTACCTATGCAGGCTGCACCGATATTCACGGTGCAGCCTGCATATTGCACGGCTCCATATCACCCTTACCTCCATACCCTTTCTTGTTTTATCGAACAAATGTTCTCTGAGGGCAACTAAAAAGATCATTGTGATTTCTTTCAAAGGCATCTTTTTTTGGTTCCAACGTTCTCTCTTTCTATAAAAAATCCAGACTGTATGCATAGGAGCAAATTGTACACGATTCACCTTACTTGTCGATCTCAGTTTACCAAACTCATATCATTACGATAAAGTTCCTAGGAAAGTCAAATTTTACACCAGCACTCCAAGGAATACCCTTTATTTGGTGTCTTAATTTGGCCTCGAAGTGTTTCATCCGAGAAAATCATTACTTTGAATTATAAACTTGTTCAGTGGGAAACATTGGTTGAGCTGCACTGAAGACCTGGCCAGGTCATTGTGCTGTGTTCTTCGACAGGACATTTTTTACGCTAACTCTCTCCACCCAGAGCTAGAGATGCAAATGAGCAACGGTGAACAGTTGGGAAATCATGAGGTAAGGCTGAGAGAGGGGAGAAGGGTAACCTGCCACGGATGAGCATCTCATTCAGGGGTAGTGGAAAATGGGGAGAAGCTTCGCCGGTGAGGGCCAGTTAGCTCGAGTGCTGACTGCATATGTTATACGGTTCTGTTGTTAAACTAGACTCATTTCTATGGTATATTTCATCTTTAAGAAAAGAGCTGCCCTTTGTATGCGCCTCCGAAGAATGGTGCTTTGAGCTGTCACACCATTGGACAAGATCCCACGTGCAGCGTGCAATGTCAATCAGGCTTCGATTTTGTTTTCAATCCTCCTTTCCTTTACTACTGTTCATCTGGAGAGTGGAAGTTTTATGGTTTGCCAAGTATTCCATATTCAACAGAATTGCCCTGGCCCGATTGTTCAGGTATTTAGGTTGACATAACTGTGATCATCGGTTAAATTGTTGATACAATTACAATTACAGTTAGGAAGCCGCGTGGTCGAGTGATTGGGACGCTGGACTTGTAATCTTGTGGTTCTGGGTTCAAGTCCTCCACCCTGCCATTCTCTGGATTTGTTCTCGGTCGCCCCAAGTTCAACTTCTTGGCTGCGCTGTGTAAATAGCCAACTGGTCTGCTTCCTGCCAGTTGGGATTTTCAAGCCCTTTATATTATGTCTGTTTGAAATATTTGTTCCTCTCTCCCCCTCTCTCTTTTATATTTTAAAGCGCTTAGATAAGCGCTATATGAATGGTTAATTTAATTTAATTTTCCGTGGAACCCGGCAAATTCCAGTTTTTAGGGGAAACTATAGAAATTTCGAAATAGCAAAGAGTGCGAATCGCTTATAAAAGACATAAACCAAAACAATATGCTTCGGGATAATTGATTTCGGTTTTGATGGAGAAGATTAATCAATGGATACCTTTGGAAAGTGTTTCACCAAACTGTAAAACTTCTCAAGCACGCCTTAGGCTATGGTATAAGGCTAGCCTGGAAGCTGATTTTTTCGCCCTAAATACTTAGGGAATTTCGGTTTCACTGCAAACTGGGTGCCTGTGAATGGTAAAAAATAGTGTTAGAGAAGTTAACTTCTTCCAATGTTGTATCCCAGAAACATTTCTCCCTGGTGGAACAGAGTTTTGAATTTTTTCATGATCAACCACTGTCTAGATATAAATTTCCTTTTTATCGTTTAGATTAACAAAAGCCTAGTTAGATAATATAAACAAAAGCCTAGTTAGATAATATAAACAAAAGCCTAGTTAAATAATCAATAGCTGTTCTCTTAACAAATTGGTTTCTTTATATTTGCAGCGACTGCGAATCCTTCATATATAAAAATGTTTGGTATAGCCGGGTTCTATTACGATGGGGACTGCAATGACCCTAATGTGCAAGATCAAATAAAACAAAACTACCTTACACTTCTTAATTCCCCATTTGTTCCACCATTCTTCTGCGAGGAGAAACCTGACGAGTGTAATGTCAATACTATTGAAGTCTCATGTGGCGAAAAAACAGCTGCGCAGAGAAGGCGAAGACGAAATTCGGAAAAGGTGGTAAGTATCAGAGGGGTTCTGTAGCCTGTTTCTCGAAAGTCCTGGCGAATTAACGGGCCCAAAACTGTATTTTGCAATCAAACTTTAAAGAATAGAAAAGCAGGTTCTGACACCCTAACCAGTAAATTTTGTTTCTTTAGCTGAAAGTTTTATTGTACAATTTTCAAAACTTTTTCAACCCTTATATTGAATGAAAAGAGAACAGCTTTACAGCCCCGATAAGTTACCGGGGCTTCGAGAAACGGGCCCCTGATTAGGAGAGTTTAAGGGGGTGATAGTTTGTCCAACATCCTCTATCATTTGACAAACCCTAAAGAAAACTTACCCCCGTGTTTCTTTAAAAAAAATATTTAAGCCTTTCAGACTTAACGCCAAGTGGTGCATGGGACATCGACAAGCTTCTCCCTTATCTAATTGGTCAAAGCTGAGGGCTTGCTCCAGTTGTGGTTTTGAGTTTTGCCTCAACTGTCCTTCTCCGAGCAAGATAAATACAAACAAACATGAATTTATATGGTGATATGCAATTATTAGGTGAAGCTGAGCACGATATCCTGAATTATTAAAGCAGAGGTCTGATAATTCCTGATATCATGCGAATAACTAATTAATTAATTTATTGTTTTATCATATATTTCTTAAACAATCTGCAAAAGAAGACACTTCTCCCTGAGTTTGAGAACTCTTCACGGACGAGGGGCTTATTAGGCAGATTTTGAACTCGGCATAATAAACCAATATCTGCTGCAGATATATACAAGTCAACTTCACTCGCTACTGTATATTGATTATGCTCTCTAATGCATAATAATCTGAATTATACACGCAATTTCATTGGCCCTTACTTGTGATCTATTGAAGGAAAGACGAAAAGATGACGTTACGTTGACTGAATGTTGTTGTTGTTGTTTTTTATCATGTAAAATAAATAGATTCTATGTTGCTCTGGTTTGTAAAGTAAAAGATCACCAAATAAGTCAGATGTAGTTAGAACATCGGTGACACACTCGGCTGCGTCTCGTGTGCTACGTTTAGTTTTTTGTGCGATATTTTGAAGTCATCTTTGGTCTATTACTGGAAAGACGCCGGGCAACATGGAATCTACTTGTTAAAGAAACATGTGCACATAGCTATTTATAACAAAGCTTTACAAAAGCGCGTCTTCTGATTGGCTAAAACACTCGATCCATTTGCCCGTGGGTTGCATGCTGATGCCAGTTTTTATTTTTCATCACGAAACGAAAGATGTTTGAAAGTCTAAACGTTAAAAAGAAATGTGCAGTTTGCAATCATCGAAACTCCCAAGTGCATCCATAACTCAATGATTGCGCGCTGCACGCTAACCATTTCTTAAACATACATACGTACGTATGTACATTCGTAATACTTACGTACATACGTATGCACATTCATGCTTTATTGTATAGGGGTTCTCTAGTGCTATACAAAAATTGGAAGACTGGTCAATTTGAAACCGTGTCCTCCAGATTTTTAAATCCAACTCCCGCCCCCACGCGGCTATTCTGAGTCTCACACTTGAAAGTAATTCGATTATTTTTGTCTACTCAAGGTAAATATCAAATATATATACGTTGACAAGAATACTGGGCTTACACCAGGGACTAATGACCAAAAAGGTCAGGATGATTTCAATGCACAGAAAACTAAGACTGAGGGGGACAGGACTCAAGTTCTGGACGGGATCAAGCAAGTCAACTGGGTGGAATACAAGGCAAGCTCTGGTTTAGAGTTGATCGACTACAACGTCGATAACTTTAATCTCGGACATCCGGAAGCTTTTTGCTCAGAAGACGGTGCTGTGGTAAAGAAGTGTACCGCAGCCAGCTGTTTTGCTCCACCTTGTAAATGTGCCGAAGACACGGGAGATGTCACGAAGTGCAGTAAGTAAACTAATACGTTTTTGAGTACGAGGTTGAGTACGAGGTTCGAAGGACTCTTGGGGATGATCACAGATCACATGGTTTTTTAGTAAGAACACTGGTCAACTTTTGTTAAATTGTTAATTTGCAAACTGCTCGAAACTTAGACACTATCGAGGTGTCAACGGGGTTTCTTGGGAGGACTCTCTGCCTCAGATCCATTTAAAATAGCAATATGGGAGTATTTTTCTAGCAATCTTCGCAGATAGTGAATATCCCTCAAATTTTCGCAATTAAAAAGGATCAAGAAAAGACTTTAGCGAGAAGCACCTAAAGTCAACCGTTAAGCAACGAGCAGTACCTCCTTCTTCACGTTGTCCACCTCGCGGTGAAAAAAATTAGCGAAGAACTAGTGATGTTAATGTGCTACGCGGAATCTTACTTTTAGTGCGCCTTACTCCAAGAGTCCCGCTGGCGTGTTAATTTAATTTTTTTCTTCACTGAATTTTTTATTGCCCCGCAAGATGGACTTAGTTGAAGACGACAGAATGCTTGTACTCTAGTCAATCGCTGTATACATAAATTCAATCATAAATTCTCAGTTTCTCTCCAGTCTTAAACCTAAGATAATTTGGAAATGCTAAGTGATTATGTTTTCTTCTAACAGCACGTTGTCCCATTGGAACATACTACAATGTTAACAAAGATGACTGTCTTTTGTGCCCTGAGGGTCAATACAGCCCTAATGAGGGTGCTCTGGCATGCGAAAAATGCCCTGAGGGGACTTGGACACAGGGTACCAGGAAAGAAAACTTTACAGCTTGCACAGGTAATGAACATTATTTCTTGTTTCTTCCTTGTGAGTGAAAGAGTCTCTGTGTTGAAGAATAGAGAAATAACAAATAGACAGCTTAGAGATGCTCACAAAGCTTTCTCTTTCTTTTTAATGCGTTCTTGGATGGTTCTTTGCATCATGCAATTCCTAAATCAGCGCTGGTTTACTTAAATGTCATTTCTCGACGATAATGATATGGCATCGCTACATCCTCCTGAACACCCTCTTAATTTTAGCTTCATGTACCCGTCTATAACTGAAAAAAAGAGATTTTGGTAAGACGACTTTATTTATTGTTCAATTGCAACCACAAAATCAAGTTTCATATTTCTACAAAATTTTATAAAATTGCTGAGGTCAGGTCAGGAAAAATTTAGGTGGTTCCAAAATATTTTTCAATGCCCCTTTTTCTAAAGTTTTACTTCCTCGAGAATTCAGCATTTACTTTTGATTTATTTATCTGTATTTGAACATTACAGATGAATGTGGCCCAGGATTCTTTTCTTCAACTGGCGTAGCCAAATGTTTCGAATGTCCCACTGGAACGTACTCATCAGATCAACGTAACAAAGCTTGTACACAGTGTCCTTTAGGTACAACGACTGTCAAGGCTGCTGCTAAAGGAATTCATGACTGTGGAAGTTAGTATATTCCTCTCTCAATTGCATATTGCCAGTAAGAGCGTTTTAACTGTTTAATTGAAAACCTTCCTCACGCAAAGTCAAGGCTATAAGTAATAAATCTTTGTAGGTTTATCGATTGTCTTCTTCACCTCCCAATAAATACGCAAAAGGGAGCAGCGGTGAGTGTGGAAAAAAAATAGGAAATGGCAAAGCCTTAGGAAAATATTCACACTAGATGAAAAGAACAACAATGTAAAAAACTTTTTTCCTTATTTCCTACTATTTGTTCTCAACTCCTAAAAAACTCTATCATTTTATAAGATCTGTTGCCCTTTGAAGGCTTGGATAATCAGAAGTCCATTATATCTCAGTTAATTTCCAAAAAAGAAAAATTTCAAAACAATATCCTTAACGGATACTTTAATATTTATTTTCACACAGTGGAATGTGCTCCAGGAACCTACTCAGACAATGGTGTAGAGCCTTGTTTACCTTGTCCACAAGGTACCTATCAACCAAATTCTGGCCAAACGACATGCCTGCCTTGTCCTGGACAAGAATCTACACATGGAACTGGGGCGAGCTCTCAAGCGTACTGTGGAGGTATGATTTCATTTATCTTTGTTATTACTTTGGGTAACCCTTGTTATTGGTGTTTTAAATGATCGAATTCGCTCTTTTATCATGTTTTTATATATATATATATGCACATATTTTTATCCTTAAATATTTTTAAGCAGGGCCCCGAATATTATGAATAAATAAATGAATCAAATGAGCAGAAAGTTTCTTGGTGTCATGTGCACGTGATCAAAGGACCTTTCTAAATGTTAACGGTGTGGGATCACGTTTCTTGTCACGAAGTCACGAGATTTACTTTTATAGCGCGAACAAGATGTCGCGCTGATCAACTGTTTCTAGATTTGTCTATTCGAAAAACATTGGAAAAAAAAGGGGTTTACCACGTGACATGAAGTTGCTCATTAAAAAACAGAAAACCATACAATAAGACAAGAAACAAACCAAACTACGTGAGCAAAACGAAAACATTTTTAACTGACCATCAGCCTAATTTATTTCCTCAGCATGTTCTTCTATCTTAAGTAATACTGACTAAGTGATACTGATAATGATAACTGTAATCAAAGCCTCATCACGAGGCTTCGATTACAGTTATTACCGGGTATTTGTCGAAATGGCTTTTATAAAAGAATGTATTTCAATTAGAAACTTTTCCCCCTGTATACCGGTTCAGTCATGAGGATATTCAAAATGTTTGTTGGTCAACTTCATAAATTCAACGTGTAATTCTCTTTCAGAGGTTAACACTTGTATTTCGAGTCCCTGCAGCAATGGTGGAAAGTGTGTGAACACGAAAGAATCATATCGATGTGAATGTCTATCTGGCTACCAAGGGAAGAACTGCGAGACAGAAATTAATGAGTGCCTCGCGACACCATGTTACGCCTCCTCTACTTGCGTCGACAAGGTATGCTTTAGAACGAAAACTTAGTCATCACCTTTTTAAACAGTAGCACCAACTAGGCGCGAAAATAGGCGCGGATTTTTGTTCGCGGACACGATCTGTTTCGAAAAGTGAGCAGTTTTTCGGGAGCCAAGAGGTTCTTTTGGTCGTATTTTTTAACAAATAAATGTATTTTCTTTTGTGACAACGGTAATCGCTGTCTTCCTCTACACGTAATAAACAATCTACCTGACCATTTATATGCATTATGCAATACATGCATGATCGTGAATCATATATCAAACAAGTTGCATTGTTCAATTTTCATAGCCTGGTGCATTTGCATGTCTTTGTCCTTCGGAATACACCGGAATAGAATGTGAACTACCGTTTCTCCTCTGCACACGAGGATACTGTCAAAACGGAGCAAAGTGTATCGATAAAGCGGGAACATTCGATTGCCAGTGTCAACAAGGGTACAGTGGAAGATACTGTGAGGTGAATATCGATGAATGCGCGTCAAATCCGTGCCAAAACAACGGTGTGTGCATTAGTGGTTTAGACAACTACATGTGCAAGTGCCAACAAGGATACAGTGGTAAGAACTGCCAGATAAATAATGATGACTGCGCCGGCGATCCCTGCCAGAATAACGGGGTCTGCGTGGATGGCATTCAATCATACAGCTGTACATGCCCAGCTGGGTACTCTGGGAAAAACTGCGAAGTAGCCATCGATCATTGCGTTGGACAGCCCTGTGCTAATGGTGGCACTTGCACGAATACGCCAACAGGTTACAAATGTAGCTGTATGCCCTCATATTACGGATGTCGCTGCACTAAAGGTAGGGCGCAAATTTTTTTCCATAAGCAAAGGCACTGATAAATAGCTGTCCATTGATACTCCACTCGAGGAACGAACAGTTCCTTCAGAGTTACCGTTTGAACGCTTTACTTTGCTCTGTGATTGGTCAAGAATGGTCGCACCACTTTCTCAACCAATCAGATACAAAACTACAACTAATCACGACTTAATCGCCTGCGTTTCCCGCGCTTTTGGAAGTTAGATTGTTTTTATTTTTATTTCACATTCGCCCTTACATATAGAGGATTTTTTTTTCGCCGATGTGACTACTTACCCTACTTTGGTCTTGCGTTTTACGACACTCAATCTAAAAGCGCTCCATTGTAACTAATCCTGTTGTTTTGTTTCCACAGTGCTCTCCACCGACTACGACTTGTCTTTTCAAGTGCGACAAGCCAAGTCCTATTCTCGGCTCAAAAAGCAAGTTTCAGACATTAGCGCTCTAACCATCTCATTTTGGATGCGTACCAAAGACACAAACCCGGGTACAGTACTTTCCTATGCCACAACAGTGAACAACGTCTTACAGGACAATGCACTTACCCTACAAGACTACGCTGGGTTTAATCTATTTGTTAATAACAAAACTGTTTTCACGGGCGTGAAGGCAATTGACGGACAGTGGCATCATGTGGCAGTCACATGGGAAAGTTCTGGAGGTACGTGGCACTCATATAAAGACGGAGTTAAAGTGAAGAGCTCTACTGAAGCCTTTCAGCAAGGTGAAATAATAAAGGGCGGAGGCGTCTTGATTCTTGGTCAAGAACAAGATGAACTTGGGGGCGGCTTTAACACCGAAGAAAACTTCATCGGCGATGTAAGTCAGATGCACATATTTGACAACGTCCTGTCCGCTACAGACATTTATAATCTGGCATACAGTTGTGATCATGTCAAAGGAAATGTTGCATCTTGGGGTGACTTCAGAGAACAGTTAGATGGAGAGTATCATGTGACTGACAAGTCATACGCTTGTGACTGTGAGTATTATGTTGGCCTATATCCTTTCTTTCAATATCTGTGGTCCACGACTATAGTTTAGAAAAACCTATGATGCCGTCGAGGGACAGTTTAACGAGTGCAAAATTTGCTTGTGTCAAACCTTAGTCAGCCCAATGACGACTGTGGCTTGAGAGGCTTAAGATTATTCGGTTACATACTTTCACTGACCCAATGGTTCGCGCGGTGAAATCCTAGTCAGGAAGTTTAGGTTCAAGCCCTGATTAGGTCACTGTGTTGTATTCTCAGGTGGGGGCAAGGAGCTTGACTCCCACAATGCCTCACTCCAACCAGGAGTATGAATGAGTAGCTGCAAATTGTCAAGGAGATGAGGAAATAATAACTTTCATTGTTGCTTCGTGTTACGAAAACTGGGATAATCTCTGACGACGTAGGCAGGGGGCTCGAGGGTAGTCGTACTTACCATGCGTTGTTCATGAGTTGAAAACGAGCAGGCTGTGATTTTATGCAAGTCTTATGAAAAATGATTCATTGCTAAACGGCTTACTGAGAAATTGTCTTCTCAATCTCTTTCAGTCAACGCTGCTCAGAGACAATTCTTCCTGACGTACAACTCATATATATCTGGAAGCGACGATAAAGTGGTGGATAACACCTCCCCGGAAGCCTGCGCTTCGTCTTGTCGGTCGGAAGCTTCGTTCATCTGTCGATCCTTTGAGTTTGACAACTCAACCAACCGATGTGCCATGAGCAGCAAGTCGTCATATAACACTGGACTGGCGAGTGCATCAAATTATCGATTCTTTGAGCTAAGTAAGTGCACATCACTAGCAGCTCTTATATATTCTTTATGATTCAATAGTGGTGTGTATTGTGAAGCTTTCTGTTAGTGTCACCAATAGTATTGCTGGGTAGCTTTTTGTGTTATGCTGTGGGCTTTATCAGGTAGCAGTCTTTTTTACCATTCATGAGTAAAGGGGGTAAGTTTCTAAAGGAAAATGAAAATTATCTTTCAAATCGGCCCTTTATCCCCAGAGTTTTAACGAACGCTTTTCACTCAACTAAAATATTTTTGTTTTTCTTGTTGCCATGTCCCCACCAATAGCGTAGCTCCATTTTCTGCATATAACAAAGGCACGCACAACCTGTAATTCCTCAATTCACTCTGACGAAGGGCTAACGCTCGAAATTTTAGCTTTAGAAACTCTTTATAGCGGCAAATTTACATTGTCAACTCATTTGTTTTAACCAAATTACTTTGTACCATTCAGTTTTTTGATCGCATCATCAAACAGAATATAGACACTATTATTATTGGGGCATCCTTTACTCACAATTTATCATTGCTAGTACCTATGAATACTTTTAGGGATAACTAGAGCATTTGTTATGAATGCAATTTAATCAACTCGTAGTCTGAAGTAATACGGCAAACAGTATTAATAACATCACTGAGGTTTACTATGATGTTGCAGGGGCAACCTTTCGTACGAAACACCTCAAGGAAGGAGAGAGTGCTGTTAGTCCTTAATATTTGTCTCTTCTTCTTGCAGACTTCCTAGGAAATCTTCCTTCCCCTTGTAGACTGCCTTAACAGTCTTTATTTCTTCTTGCAGATTGCCTTAAGAGTCTTGGTGTTGGAGCTAAAAGTCGCATCCCTGACTCTGATATGTCAGCATCATCGCAGTATGCCGCAACCCACGCCGCGAAATTTGGTCGCCTAAATGCGCAAACTCAGCAAAATTCAGCAGGACAGGTAGAAGAGAACGGAGGCTGGGCTGCTTCAACCAACAATGCTAACCAGTATCTCCAAATCAAGTTTAGCGAGGTCTTCCAGATTTCTGGGGTGATAACTCAGGGAGCAAGCGACGCTGACCAGTGGGTGACGAAGTATAGACTTGAGTACAGCAGCGACGGAGCATCTTGGACTTACTATCCTGATGTAAGTAAGCATGACTCGTTTGGCGACAAGGAATCAAATCTTTATTCGATTATGAAGGGGCTAATCGATAGCCGTAAAACGGCCAAAAAATTCAGCCGTGAGACGTAAAAATTGACCAAAATTGACCAAAGTTCTGGTGATAACAATGGAACGATATTAACCGTTAGCCGTATAAGCCATCACCTTATAGAGAAGTAATTAACAGAGGTGGTGCTTACGCAGTTTCTCCTTATGATTTCAATATATTGACCATCAAACGGGTGATAACAACAATGGGTGTTAATGTCATAACACACCAATTCATTTCGTGTGTTTTATAAAGAAATTCATGGCAGTCTGGTTGAGACTTTCAAAGAGGACCTCAAGAACTACGGGATTGCAAAAGTTGAAACAAGATTGAAAATCGTGTCATTCAAGAGGGATGTAAATTAAGTGAAAAAGTAATCCTCGATAGCGAGCTGAATTTTTTTTAAGCAATTGCAGGGAAAAAAGTAGGTTGAAAATATTCAAGCTACGAAGGTTTTCCAGCCGTTACCCACAAACTACTAGAAAACGAGGAGGAAGAGACAAAAAAATTGAAAAAAGAAAACCGAGGAGGCGAGCAGTTTCCGCTAGTGCTAAACTGGGAGGGAAAGATCGAGTCAATTTTTAGTAAAAACATAAACAAAACACACTCAGCAAAACAACAACAACAACAGCAAAAATATTAGAAAAAAAATAGAAACAAATAAATAAACAATATTGAAAAATTAGGAAAAAATAGTTAAGACATTGAGCATTATCTGTTCTTCCTCTTAAATATGAACACATTGAAATCTTTCAGACTCTTAATGGCAACAGTGACCGCAATACTGAGGTCCGCAATGAAGTCAGATTGTTTCAAGCCATGTATCTTCGATTCAGACCCCAAGAATGGTATGGCCATATAACGATGAGAGTTGATGTGAATGGTTGTCCATTGCGTAAGTGCAAATATTTGAATTTTTTTCGTTGCTGAGGTGTTCATTACATCATTCTTACCAAATGTGTCAACGGGAATATGGAGCCCACGTCTTAACTTTAGAAAAAAACAACCTTCTGCCAATAACGTGAAACAAACAGCTAGATTTAACATAGATATAACTTTAATATAACCTTGTTGTGTTGTGGAATAGTTATTTCTCTATGTACAGGTTTTCCACTTTCTATTCAATGTGAATTCCTCTATGATTTATATCATATCTGATGAAATATTTGTGGGACGGGGGGGGAGGCTTACTTTGCGGCATAACTCGGGGTCACTCCAATTTATTCATAGTTCACTATCGACTTACTACGGAAATAAACGGTCTATCATGTCACCTGTCATATTTGGATGATGCTAAGAATAAAAATACTAATACTAATGTTAATGATCATAATAATGATAATGCTTATGGTGATTATCTTAACGATAATAATAAGTGTTATTATATAATCTATCAAAAACAAAAATATATTATTTACTCGAGCGAGGCAAATACTTTAACATTACAAGAGTGATGATTCGCTACAAAGTAGAAAAAACGCTCAGTGGAAGAAGAAAATTATAAAAAAGATACTTGTATGGCATTTTAGAACAACATTGCAGGATCATAAACGTGATCGCTTGTGAATCAGAGAAAAAACTTTAAGACAAGAATTGTACATTTTTTTCTCCAAAGCTGTCGCCAAACCAGCAGATAACACGGATGAATGCAGCAACTCACCTTGTAAGAATGGAGCAGCGTGTGTTAACAGATATAATGACTACCTCTGTATGTGCCCCGGTGGCTTTACCGGAAAGAACTGCGATACAGGTGAGCAACCGCTGATATACAGTCTGGGGAAAGGACGATAGAGTTGACCACGGATAATCGACGTAATAAACGAGACCAGCTTAACAGATACTCAGGCATACCGAGAAATACAGACTGACAACACTCGGGTTGGATATGCATCATAAAATAGAGGAGGGACAAAGGAAACACATAGGCAGCTAAAGAAAGTAAGGCAAACAAGACAAGAAGCCGTTCTGCAGATATATGATTGGTAAAGCGAAAATTCAGGGAACGAAGAGGCACATAGACAAACCGAGAGTCATACAGACGACATACAGATAGATTCACTCAGATGGGCAACAAAACAAAGCTTACATGCAATCAGGGTAGAAAAAAAAGACAGACTTCCTTACACGTATAGACACGCAATTGAATGAAAGATGAAGAAGAATAGAGCAAATAAATAACCAATGGAATAAAACTGTGAGTTGTTGACACGTGGGACAGCCTAGCAAAGGAATCACCAGTGTCGTAAAGATGTTACTTATTTTAATAATGAGAGCTTACCTTGAATTTATTTCTGTTTAGCGACCAACTGTAGACCAATCGGTGCACCACTTTACGGCTCAAAGTCTGGTTCCAATTACAACGCAGGAAGCACAATCACATTTACTTGTAACGCTGGTTATACCATGCGGGGATCTTCGTCCAGAACGTGCCAGGGAGGAGGATGGACTGGGTCCAACCCAAGATGTCCGGGTATGTATCATCAGCTTTTTGAGCATGATCGGTTTCGACATTTTCCCGCCATTTTTCAGGTACCTTTTACTCAGGGTCATAAAATATGTCAGGAGAATGTGCTGCCTTTGGTCTGTTATCCGCAAATGGTTCGGCATTCTAGTCTTCTTGGATAGATAGGACGTTAAACTGTAGGTCCCATCTCCTGCATCTTCTCTGTACCGGTTCGCAAGGGACGTGTGAGATCCCACTCACTTCTCGTAAAAAGGGGAACGTAGAGTCACTCTGTTAAATATCACAAATGAATGAACACATTTTGTGACTTGGATAAAAATTTTCCTTTTTAATACCCATGTATAACCTTCGAAATAGCACAAAACTTAAAAAGTGACACAAAATATAATGGTAACGAAAAATGTAACTACTTTCCTATTGGACAATGTGATTAGTGGTTACACAACATGTACTGATAAAAGCCACGCTAAATGTAATGACGCAAAATATAATAACCTTTTCACAAATCTCTCCCTGATCATTTCAAATTTTATTGATGTAACTGACTTAATTTCTTCCTTCTCAGATACGGATGAGTGTGCCAATAATCCTTGTAACCAGTTTTGCACAAACACTAACGGTGGATACGTCTGCCATTGTCATAAAGGATATGAGCTTCAAGGAAATACCAACTGTGTTGGTAGGATAAGAGATGACATTTATTGCACCTTAAATATGCATTTTTTTTATATTTTCTTTAACCGGATATTCAAACAACGACACAACTTAGCTTTGAGTTTTGGAAACCACAGAGCTCTCAAATTTACAAGTCTAATCATCAGCTGCTTGGGCGTGGAAAGAAAAAGCAGCAACAACTATTACTTCGATCTCAGCTACTTCGACTTGTCAGTAGAGAGATTACTCAAGACTATCAATGAAGATGAATTGCATGAATTTTTCTGAGCGAGTTTGACAAGTAAACATTAAAAAACACGAAACTGACAGAACCAATTCAGGGCTAAGAACTTTTCATTTTGTGATTGTTTATGTTCTCGTTATGTTCGTTTTCCAGATATTAACGAATGCTCAACTGAGAACGGAGGCTGTTCCCACTCTTGTCACAACTCTGCTGGTGCATTCTCATGTTCCTGTCCAACCGGGCTCGCACTGGATTCTGGTAAAAGAAGCTGTCAGGGTAAGATTTTATAAATATATGCTATGATTAATTTGACGAAAGGATAACTGATATGCTTCTTTCTGCATACTAACTGTATTCAAATTAACTAAGAGATGAGAGAAAGAGAGAAGGCCATAAATTTTCTAATCAATATTGCAACTAAGCACGTTGACTTTCAGTGGTCAATCCTCGCATTCCTTGAAAAATTTGCTGTTCTGTTGTTTTAACGATGGAAGAGGTAGTCGATGGAAGAGGTAGCCGTTGTTTCCTGGATTTTTTTGCAGTATAAAAATAGTTTACATTTTAATTGATTTATCGATATTTTTTCGATATCAAAAGACCTAAGTAGTGAAAATGACCTTGGCAACTACGACTTAGAAGTAAGTAAATCATCATGGTGAGTAACATTCATGAGTCAAGAGAAAGAGAACAATAACCATGACGCCATTAATACCTCTGATACCAATTACAGTAGTCATGGTCCTCACGCCATCTCATTTTTCGCTTTCAGATGTCGACGAGTGTGCTACTAACAATGGTGGCTGTGAACATTCTTGCGTCAACACATACCAGTCCTTCACCTGTGTTTGCAGACAGGGATACACTTTGGGCGGGGATAAAAAGACCTGCCAAGGTAACTGAATGCGGGTATGATTCGGTAATGCGAGCTTTCAGTGAAACGCTTGAGTAAACGCTCCGTAAAGGTAATAATATGATTTCGAGTGAGTGCAATTTTGTGTTAATAAGCTCAAGTATATTTTTCAAAGACAAACAAAATTGCAACGAGAAAGTCAAGAAAGACGAAATTTTGAAAGCGTGCGCGCTATTTGTAATTTGCACTCGTGTTACAACTTTGTACTCGTATTACTTGCGAATGCACACGTTTTCAGCCAATCAGACGGGAGTAATTTTTTTTCAAGTACATTATTCACACACTCACATCAGCAATATTTTCTATACATTTCTTATGGTGCCAACAGTGAGAATTCATTTAACATTCACAAGCCTTTTTAGTCGGTGATCATTTCCTTTATTCTCATGACCTCAATTTATGATTCAGGGGTGATCCTGTAAGGAGAAGTTAGATGCTAGTCACCCTTAGAAGTTGGAGGATTAAAAACTGATTGAACAGTTTTATAAAAAGCGAGAAAATCAATTACTGTCACTTTGAAACGTGTTGTCAATTTTCTTACGCAAAAATTCCGTTTGGGAACACTTGGAACCTGACCCATTTAATATGACATTTAATATGATGATAACACACGTTTTAAAATTAAAAGCTTGCTCACTTTCAAAACGGTTGCAATAAAATCACCATCATGATGTGATTGCATTAATCTTACTCAGCCTTCAGTTCGGAACACCATCTACCAATCATATAATCAGCATGTTGCGTGTTGTTCTGTCATCTTTGCAGCAATTTCATGTCCCAGTTTAAGCAACCCTGGCAACGGAAACGTGGCACTGAGTTCGGGGCTTGTTTTGGGAAGCACCGCAACATACACTTGCAATAATGGCTACCGAGGCTCATACGGAAGCTCAAAATACTACTGCCAGGCAGATGGGCAATGGTCGGGTAAAATACCTACCTGCACACGTAAGTGTATCAGACACTGTAATATTGAAAGGTGACAAAGTTTTAAAATGTTACAATTGATGCCAAACTTTTTTCCAAGAATATATAACTAATTATGCGCTGATCAAGAACCCAACATTTCAACTTGACCAGAAGCACGTGCACGACATTGCCAACCTGACCAGAAGCACCTGCATGACATTGCCAACCTGACCGGAAGCACGTGCCCGACTTTGCCAACCTGACCAGAAGCACCTGCATGACATTGCCAACCTGACCGGAAGCACGTGCCCGACTTTGCCAACCTGATCAGAATCACGTGCATGACATTGCCTCTTAATTATGGCTCTTGATACCGATAGAGCGGCATTAACAGAGGATTGCAAAAATATATGCAGTAGAGGATCCAGGATTTATTGATCGGAGGGTGATTCAGAATCTTTTATAAAATAAAGCCTAGATAAGCTGAGACATCTTTCTAGGAAAATAATTTTAGATACTTCAAATTAAGTAGTTTCTTGTAATACGGCCATGCAGGAATTGTGGCCGTTACGTTTAATGGAGGGGGGGAGAGTTTGGTTCCGGATTCCCTGAACCTTCCTCTTGGGTCTGTCTCCCATATGTACAGGAAGAGTAGCCACACTCACGACTTGCTTCATGGAAACCATCATGGCTTGAACAATAATGCTTAATTCAAGTTTCTTGTAAACATCTTTTTATTCAATCCCACAAAGACTGAAAGAGTTGTACCAAAACAAATGAATTTCTTTTTGTCACTAAAGGTGTCCAGTGTGCAGAAATCGGAGAGGTAGAGAACGCCAATCCAGTTGCTTTAACTGGGCAAGATGGCGGAAAAAACGTTCTTAATACCAAGGCAACCTTCTCGTGTAAAGCAAACTACGCTATGGTGGGTGATGCAGTTAGGACGTGTCAGCAAGACGGAACATGGAGTGGAACTCAACCCAGATGTATCGGTAGGTTGTAATCGCGCTCTTTTAGCTAATGTAAAAGTTCTTAGTTTGGAAAGGAGTGCAGTGAGCAGAGTGCTCGCTTCCCACCACTATGCTCCGGGTGCTATTCCCGGACCTGGCGTCACATGTAGCCTGAGTTTGTTGCTGGCTATTTTCGTCCTTCATCGAAGGATTTTTCTCCGGGTTCTCCGGAATTCAACATTCCAAATTCCAATTCGAGTTAGAACCTGGCCTTAGGGCAGGTAAGAAATAGATTTCATGCAATAGATGTCTTGAAAAAGGAAAGGAAGAGAAGAATTTTAGAGTACACAGCAGACTCTGCCAAAAAGATGTTGAGTTCACTTCGATTACAAATTCGTCGGCAATTTTTGCTTGTGCCTTGTTTTAGTTTTCTTCTTTGAGATGCACTCGTTTATCTTTCCTTCCATGTCTTTTTACATTAGGTAATCGTTGTGAACTAACTTCTTAAAACTCCTCGATGATTTATATCAAACGGATACCGCACTCAGTTGATATATATAATATTTGCGCAACTGAATAAGAAGGGTTACTTACGCTAATCTCTCTATCACAGCCGCTTTCTGTAGTCCAGTACCAGTCCCTGCTAATGGCGCGGTTCAAGGTTATCGGTATGAACTGGGGGCTACTCTTCGCATCACTTGCAACGAGGGCTACAATATGGTTCCAGCAAGCTCTGCATTCAGGACTTGCGTTGCAGATGGCAAAGGAGGAGGAAAATGGTCAGAGACAGATCCTGTCTGCGAATGTAAGGGCTTTATGATAAGTACCTATTGACTGAAAAGGAGGGCCGGACGGGAAAATTTTTGGCTCGAGGTGATGACGTATTGACCGAGTACCAAAAATTTTCCTCTCCGCTCCTCTCAGTCAGTCAACATACATTTTATCATCTGACCACTGCCACTCTCTTTCTTCCTCGTTCCTTTTTGCTCGCATCTTCTGGGCCGTGCGGCTGTTTCCAGCCCTGCACACGCCGTAGTGCTCAGCCCTCAGACGTGGAACTTTAATTTTGTATTTTTTTTCTTTAATTGAAAACGCGCGTGGGACTTAATTGGCTGTTTGCAGCCTTGTCGGACTTATATGTGAATTCCGCACGGTTATATGCAACCCGTAAATCTATCACCATGATAAATGTCCAAAATCTTCTGCGGAGGAACCGAGTACATCTACATATAACATTTGTATGGAACAGTACAAGAAACACACGAACGCCAATAAAAATTTATGTGGAACATTCTGATTGTTAGATAATATTCTCAGTGTACTCTTGCGACAAGTTTCGTATCATATTTTATGAGCTGAATGGGAGTAGTCGGCCAATCAGAAAGCGGACTTTCAAAAAGCCTACTTTTATCAGCTTGATGTACGTCCAGTTTTATTTTTGCAGAAGAACCGAGTGCATATGCATTTACATGCATCATTTCTATGGTACAGTATAATAAAAGGGTGTAATTCAAATTATCTTTTGCTCTCTCTTCCAAATCTAGTGGTAGACTGTGGTGACCCAGGCGACCCTTACGGCGGATACCGTCATCTAGCAAGTGACACTAAGTACCAGGCCAAAGTGACATACACCTGCAAAGCAGACCATCATTTGGAGGGAGATGAAAGCCAAACGTGTCAGGCTGACGGACAATGGAGTGGAACAAAACCTGTTTGCTTAGGTATGCACAGTTGACTTAATAAAATATTTCTCATGACAAGTTTGCGATGGGCAACTTTTTCTTAGTACCAAACAAAAAAAATATTGATTTCCTACTCGGGACGTTTCGTTTTGTGCCGAAAAAAGCATTTCTGATTCCCTCCGTGGAATCTCCTCGAAAAGATTACTACATATTCCAACTATAGTGCCGTCCATCTAAAGACATCTTTTTGTGTGAACAACTTAAAAAATGAATGAGCAACAATTCTGTGTGATAACGGGTACTACAAAAGAATCCACAAATTACCTTGGTCTTCCTGTTGTAATAACAAGGCCAATAGGCCAACTGACAGACGTGTACATAGCTGCTAAGCCTTTGATTTGGAGTGAGGCTGAAGGTGACCTTGTTGTGATAGAGACCAGTGTCTAGTTAGCATGATAAAAGAGAGATTTAAATTTGAAAAGCAGCAAGTTTGTATCATAACAAGGTCACCCTTAGCCTCACTCCTGTTCAAAGGCATGACAACCAAGCACACAACGGTAAAATGAACTATTATGGTGGACCGATGGTGAATCGTTTGACTAAAAGAACTTATTCCACTTTCACACCAACAAAACATGTTTAGATAAACCGGGTTTAACTGAATGAAACTCTGAGACAGTGGACTGAATTTTTGACTGAATTAGACTGAATTGTTCATAAGATTCAAGTGGTCACTAGCTCGTACTCTCAATGTGCTAAATTTGAAGTCGAAAAACTTAATAAAGTTTTAAAACCAGTGTTTAAAACAAATGTTTAAAGAGTGTTTAACAAACGACATTAAAAACGTGTTTAATTTTTTTTTATGAATGATGTATTCCTTGGGCTTGATAAATACACTAACCACATTTTTTACATTAAAATCTTTTGTCGATATCACTCAAAGAGCGATCCTGTGGTAACCCTGGTACTCCTACAAATGGAAAGAAGAATTCCACCAATTACAAGTATGGGTCTGTCATCAGTTTCAGCTGTGATGTCGGTTACAATTTGGTGGGATCTCAAACTCGGACGTGTCAGACAAATGGAAAATGGACTGGAACACAGCCTACATGCCCAAGTAAACGAACTGATCTTTTTATATTCATTTTTTGCAAGAGCTTATGAATAGGAAGTTTTGTTTCAAGGGTGTGGCCAGGGGGTCCTGGGGTGCTCGTGACAACCCTCTCCCTTTGTGAGCCTTTCTTTGTGACATCGAGTAAAACACAGCGTGGAGGTCGACACGAGAATCTGGTGAACACCTGGTGTGACCCCCTTTTAAAAAATCCCGGCTACGCTCCCGTGTTTCCATTTGCTTCTTGAGTCAACCCTTTCCCATTAGCAGCTTTTAAAAAACATTGGTTCAAAATAGAGCGTGTTCGGTAATAACAAACTTTGAAATAAGATTAACACTGTAGCACAAATTATTTCTTGGTGCTCAAACGTGCTGAGGCCGTGGAAACACTCTCTTAATTCCTGCGAGCCTGCGTGTAGGTCGTGCGAAACTGCGTGAAAGGGATTTTGGGACATTAAGACGCGATTGTCATACGAGATGATGAACGTATCAATCAGTTAGCTTCTTGTATTTCTCCTTACAACCCCTCGTTAAATTCAGGGTGGTTCTTATAGAAGAGAGAGATGAGAAAAAAGAATTAACGGTGGGGGGGGGGTCTATATCTGATGTATCCAGCCGGGGTATGTACATATCTAAAAAACAAATATTTGTTTTATTTGCAGTCGTTAGCTGCGGTGATCCTGGCGCGCCGGCCAATGGCGTCAGGTACGGAGACACATTTACCTATCAGAGCGTTGTAATTCTTGAATGTGACCCTAAGTACAAACTTGTTGGAGACCTCACTAGGACTTGCCAAGCGAATGGACAGTGGTCCAAATCCCAACCCACATGCCAATGTAAGTAGATCATTGATGTTCCTTATTCTGTGTGTGATACGACATTCTTTTTGGAATATTCTTGGGTTGGGCACGCGCGTAATAGAACCAGACTTAGCCTTACAGTCTCTTGGGCGGTAAGCGAGAGACCAGTCAGGACAAGAAGAGGTGAAACAGGGTTTTAACATGCGTGAGAGGTAACAGGCAATCCTGTCGCTTAAAAGATATTTGTTGTTCAAGTAACAAAAAACTGTAAGCCCCCAAACTACCCACCCGCTCTGAATCTGCCACCTAACCTTCATTAGATAGAAAGAGAACCATTAATTGACCATCTCCGTAATCTGCTCATAGCAACGAGCTGCGGCACATTTTTAACCGGACCAAGCGGGACTGTCATATCGACAAACTATCCTGGAAATTACAACGACAACGAATACTGCACATGGCAGATTCAAGTTCCGGTGAACAAGAAAATTAGACTCGACTTCACTGAATTTAAGACGGAGACTGGGAAAGATTTGTTGATGATCTACGATACAAGTCGCTATGATAGTCCGATTATCGCATTTGACGGAACCACTTACAAACCACCGCCGTTCACCTCATCTGGAAATGTCTTACGAGTTCGATTCATCAGTGATGGAGCCACCAATAGGAAAGGATTTAGTTTCAACTACAAGCAAGTCGGTAAGTACACAATGTTCAGTTAACTTTAATTAGCCGATTAACTATTCTTCTCTTTCTGATCGCTTTCACGAAGGGCTAACGCTCGAAACGTCGACTTTAGAAATCCCCTACGGCAGCCAGTTTACGTTATCAACACAGGTGATAAAACCAACTGACGTAGCACAACAGTTTATTTAGATGCTAACTCCCTACTTCCTCTTATTTATCTTATGGTTTATGCATTTGAGGCTGAATTTAACTTACATCGTAACCGGAGTCGCAGGAGTAATAAGAGGCGGATAGAGATTCGATGCGGTGAAAATTAAACCAACGGAATCGGAAGGCGAGTGCAGATGCCGATTGTGAATCTGCGAAAATTGAATTGCTGGAGGCGTAGGCGATCGGTTGGCCTGAGAACTTGCATTGTGACTGGTTGATTATTCTGCGTCTGCTTGCGACTCCGACAATCTAGTTTTCACCAAAAGAAATGGTGAAGTCTTCTGACTTCTATTCCGTCAAACTTCATTACTCGGCATGAGACTCCAATTCTCATCTGTCACAAAGCTGGAAGCGCTTTTAGGACTTCGGACACGATTTCGACTCTGACTCTGAATTAAGGAAAAATCAGCCAATAGAAAGTAAGAGATATTAAAATGTTGGAGTATGAAAATGAATTATGAAAACCATTCCTTAATAAGGGTCTTAATGGGGTGACGGCTTTTACAGCTAACGATTAAAACGTCGGCTAAAAAATTGGTTAATCTTTTACGCCAGCTGACTAAAGGTTGATCCCTTTGAGACCTTCCTTAATGTGCTGTGAACGATAGATAAGGAGCTCAATTAGTTTTAGCTTGCTTCAAGGGAATATTGTCATCAGATGATGCGTTCTTCTCTCACTTAATTCCCTTATTGCACTAGACACAAATTGCGGAGGCACATATGAGGAGGGAAGTGGCACCATCTCGTCCCCAGGCTTCCCTGGCGGTTACGCCGACAATCTTGATTGTATGTGGCTGCTTTATCGCGCCGTGGAATATCCTGAGTTTATCTTCACTGAATTCGAAACGGAAAGTAACTATGATCTAGTGTCTATCTCCAGCGGGAGGTGAGTTGCAGTTATCATACCTCATACCTCAGTTACCCTAATCGCTCTGACGAAGGGCTAACGCTCGAAACGTCAGCTTTTTTACCCTTTACGGTGGCTAATTTACGTTTTCAACCCAGTTGCTAACACTAAATTACCTACCGATATATTCGCTTAGTACCTTGCACTTTGTGCTGTAATGAAAACTTGTCTGAATAAATAAATAAATAGAGTAATGCCAGATCAGTACAACGACAATAACAACGATATCTAATATACTTTTCTTTTGGAGTCATTTGCAACTTTTTCTGGCCCACGGGTAGCCAATGTTAGTCTTAGCAGGCCAGTCTATAAAAATCTAATTACAAACAGTACAATACAACAAGAGGAAAAAGAAACACAAATAACGAATAGTTTATAAAATGTAAAACGAAGGAAAGAATGGAAGCATTTACTTGAGATATTCATTTCAATAATCATCTCACATATCACACTTTTTTTCTTTACCTCTTACTTTTCACGTTTGTGATTTTCTGATGTGCATCAATAACTGAATCTTCCTCTTGGAGAACGCTGAATAGTATGTTTTGTTTCTTGAATTCCAATGAATTTTTTTGTAGCGCTCTCAAAAACCATGTAATCTCAAGCAAGCTACGAAGGAACTATAACTCTCAATTTGTTTTTTTATTACACAGGTTTGCCGAAAAGACGTTGACGAACGGATGGGGAGGGCATGCCCTTCCGTCGGGTTCTTTTTACGACGAATCAAATCACTACCTTTGGGTTCGATTTACCACCAACGGCGGAAATGGGGATGGACGATTCCACAAAGGGTGGAGTGGGAAATACCAGAAATACTATCCTTATGTCAACAAGAAGAAGAGAAGAAAGTAATGCGGCAACAGGGGGGGGGGGGGGGGGAGGGGGGATACCTCCCTGGCATAATAAAGATGCAAATGCAAGAAAATGATGTGTAATACCGAGTGATAATAAAGGTTGAACCAACACATACTCATGTTTCAGTGTTATCCATCATCACGCCTTTGTCAAAAGTTTATTTCTTAACTTGCAGGATCTTCAATTTCTTCTCCCAACTGAAAACGGTACGTTTCTTCGGCGGCCAGTTCTTGGAATAAAGCTGTAACCGTAACCTTAAATCTATCACTTATTCAATTCTTTTCTTTGCTGTTACTTGTTACTAATGTACAGAGTCAAGAAAGACGTAAATTTTAACATCGCGCGCTATTTGTAATTTTGCACATGTGTTACAACCTTGCACTCGTGTTACATGAGAATGAACTCGTTTGAGCCAATCAAACGCGCGTAATTTTTTTTATCTATATGATTAGTATAGGTAACTGTATGATTTCGAGTGCAATTTGATTTTAACAAAAATAGAACGATCCAGTTGGGCGAGCGCAATTTGTGGTCTTTGAAAAATTTACAAGAGCTTATTTACACCAAATTTCACGAGAAATCATGTTGTTACTATTTAATAATTTACATGAAAAACGCATCACAGAAAATCAGGACGGACGAAATTTTGGTGGGCACGTGCGCTATTTGTAATTTGCACTCATGTTAAAAATTTGCACTCGTGTTACATGAAAAATGCATTTGATTTCAGACATTGAGACGCACGTAATTTTGCCATGAACATTATTAATAAAATATCAGTAGGTTGCAAGAAGTATCGAAATTTGTCGAGCGGAGTCTGTTCGCTGGTAATATATTAAGCCAGCTTTCCAAAGCCAATCGTTGGAAGTAGTTGGTTTTGCACGCCAAACTTCGACTAGCAGAGTTCCAATCAATAGCGTGGCTCGTTACTAAATGATGCTTTGTGCGGGAATCGGTTAAAATCATCATTTCCTAACATTCTTTGGTGTTTCAGTCCTGTACTGAGAATCTTGTAGGTTTCTCCGATCTAGGATGGTAGACAGTCTGACCACTTGTTCTGTTCACTGAACCGCTCCTTGTGTCTTTTGCGTTGTTCACAGCCCCATTTCAAACTTAAGCTATGTGTAAGCCAAGGTTCCTATTCTCTGAAGTATAGTGTTAAAATCTACCTCGCGTGTTGCTTGAGAGCCAGATAGGAAGTCTAAATGGGCGGCGCATAGGAAGTCAATCATACCAAACTTCTTGGCATTAGATTGCGGGATACTTTTAGATTAGCCTCATTCGCTCGAAACGTCAGCTTCGAAACTCTTTACGGTGGCCAATTTACATTATCAACTCAGTTGTCAACTCAGATTTTTCGAGTCCAAAAATAACACATCACCTCAGGAATAAGGTCAAAAAATAATTTAGAACCCAGTCACTTTAACTCGGCAATGAATTGATGACAGCCATCATTAAAAAAAAGATAAGTTTATGTCAATCCTTTCTACAAAATAGTATTTTCTGAAACTCGTTTCGCATGGCACGATTCATGATACCATAAATTACTGGATTAATCCAGGCAGAGAGGGATGAAAATAAAGGGTAAACTGACTTTGCTGAGGAAGGAATTGATACCTGAAAACCAAACTCCAGCATCGACATGAAAATAAAAGGACACCAGGCGATCGAAAATCCAAGTACGGCAGCAAAGATTGCCCGAGAGGATTTCACGTCTTGCGCATTAATTCTTCCATGGTTGTTCGCTCTCTGCAAGGATGGGACAACTACGTTGTTGTGTTGTTTGACAACTCGATAAATGCTGTAATAACAAAAGACGACCACGGACATTAAAACAGCGGAAAAACAAGCAAAGAAGACGAAAGAAATCCTCTCTGAACTTTCACTGTCAAAAGTTGTTCGGCAATATAAACTGTCAGGGATCCATCGAAATTTTATTGGTGCGGTAAAAACGAAAATCAGTAATTCAATACAGAGGATAATCCAGACCCCAAGTAATGAAGTTACAGTTTTCCTGTGAGTGAATAACAACGAGTATTTATTTGGTTTCACGACGCAGAAGTATCGATTTAGCGAGGCTAAAGTCAGAATGGAGAGTGACACTTGAACCCAATATTGTACGACAAAACCAGTTAGTTGACAGAAGTGGTGTCCGAAAAACCATTTTCGCAGTCCTGAAGCGGTCGCTTGGAAAGGAAAGCTTAATATAGCCATCATCATGTCGGCCAATGCAAGCGATACCACATAGAAATTCGTAATAGTGCGCAGTCTCCTGTTTCTGTACAACGCGTAAATAATGAACATGTTCCCGGTGAGTGAAAAGATCGTTGCATGAACTAGAATAACAGTGTGAATGACAACTGCCACCGTGCCTCTAGTGTCCTCTTCCGCAGCCATTTTTCCTCAGAAGGTTTCGACAATTTTGGCTAAGCCTAAAAAAGGAATTTAACCTTGTGAAATCACTGGTTTTGTTGTTGAATTATTCGAAAGAGGGTTTCGACAGTGTTGGCTAAGGCTAAAAAAGGAATTTAACCTTGTTAAATCACAAATGGTGTTGCTGTTGAATTTTTCGAAAATTTAACATATGTTGCGATGTAACTTTATAGCACTGTGTAAATTCTGCTCATACAGTACACCTGCTAATAGAATTTTAACAGCCTTGACACTTTCAATGTCCTTTTTGTTTACTCCGTTGTTCAGTAACATTTGGCGATCTAGCTTATCACAAACGAGAGAAAATAGTCACTCTTCTTTGTCTGGCGGTTATTGACTTCTTCGACAATCTCAAGTTATGTCCTAAATGAACTTTTCATGAACCGCCACAAATGTAACATTACAATAAGTGATTGTTAACAAATAGCAACTAGAAGGGCATTAAACCCAATCGGCGATGTTCTTCAGATTAAAAACCACAAATTAGTCATTTTACCTTTGATTTGCATAAAATAAATGAGACAGAAAAAATAAGAGGAAGTCTTCCTCGATAAATGTCTTTCGATGTTTACATTACATTCGCACGTCAACAAAGTTTCAGATAGCAAGTTTATATGAATTCTGCTTTGATCCAAGTTTTTAATTAAAGGATGAGATTGTTGAATCCCCGATCAGTCTGGCGCTGACCCCTTTTATCTTATCATCGTTGATCGAAAGATTCCCTTGGCAGTTAGACAACAAACAAAATTTAGTCATGAAACAAATGAAACAATTAAATAGTCAGGTACATTTTGTATGTAAGATAAAGGCCCAGGATTGAAAACGTGCATGATCTGCGGCCAAATTTTGTTCTTAAAAGACCATATGAAAATTTCGGAAATAAAGGGTAATTAACGAGCTCGAGGTACATAGATTATCTTCAAATCACCGTTAACTTTCGTGCAAAAATTACAACTGAACCCGTAAATATCACGAAATGTTCCGAGCCTCTCTTAAGACCCCAAGAAAGGAATCATTTCACTTGCAATCTGAATGCACGCAACCACTACATCATAAGAACATAAAAAACTACATAACCTATTCTGTAGACTACAAATTGCCGCAAATGACCTCGAGCCGTCATTTTTTGAGGATTGCAGAATTGAAAGCCTCTTTTGAAATCGAATCAGATATTTCTGATTGATAATCTATAGAGTTTCCTATCGGTGTTTGTTTTATTTCCTTCTCGCGACTTTATTTATTCACCGACAAACTTTAAGCTCGAAGGGTGTGCCCGATTTCGCTTGCTTAGCTCGTCTTAGAGGGTGGTGCGTAATCCGTATACGTGCCTTTGCATTACTCTTGTTCAGAGGACGACTAAGTACAACGTGTTTTCAGGATTTGCACCTCACTTTTTTCGCGGCAAATTTCGTGGCAGATCACGACGTCATCAAGGGGGAATGGTAACGAGTGACGCAAGGAGGATCGAGCAAAAAGGCAGAAATATTGGCGATGGTGCATCAAAATGCATAGATGCATAAATGCATAAAAAAGCAGAGATCATATAAACAGCATTGTAACTTGGGAGAAAAAAAACAGGTCGAAAAATTTGTTAGGTACAAAAGAAGTCAAGACCTTCACGTAGAGTGAGAGAGGATTAACGAACGAGACACTTGCGGTAGTCTAGAGCTTTACTTGGCTGGATGTCAGATCTCAAACGTTGTATAGTGAGCTCTTCTCTGGAAAACGAACAATTGAACGGAAGAACAGATGCTTTAAGGAGTCGCTGAGCTTAGCTAGAAAGTCACTCAAAACAAAAACAGAGGCCGTTTTTGATTACGAAAGAGAGACGCTTTAACATCAAACGACGAAGCAGAGCGAAGCAGAGCAGAAGCTAGACCGAAGGTTTCAACCAGGAAGTGAATGCTGTTGACAGGTCAGGACATTATATCTTGAATCTACTTCAACTCTGTAAACTCGGTTTTGTCTTTTGAATTGTTACAATTATTATGAACTGTTCCTCTTTTCAAGAAAGTGTCGTGGCCGTAATCAAATATATCAGTAGGAAAAGTTTTCCTATCGTTCGTTTACAGCCTTATATTAGGATCTGCCAGGATTGCGATCCTTCTGTCTCCTTTTCTTTTCTCTTCCATAGCTTCTTTATTTATGAATTGGCTAGTTATTCATAGACGTAAAAGCAATCAAGAGATTTCTACCGAAAAACCGGGAGCAAAGTGTGCATATAGAAGAACTGGTGCATAGGACCCTCATTTTCGGTATAAAAAGTTTGATGAATCATTACTCATCCATCAATCTATGATATCCGATGGCTTATTTTCGCGCTCTTTATAGCCTCTTCGAAGAATTTCTCTAACAACGATTTAAACGATTTAAACTTGGGAAGCGACAGTTAAATTTGGTTTACTCCTATGATGCTCTATGTAGGGACGGCAAGACATGATCTATCAGGGACAGTCTCATTCATCACGGGGGGGGTAGGGGGGATTTTTGGAGTGTATCACTTAGTTTTTTTCAGGGGGAACAGAGGAGGAAGGGTCATTCGTCCCTAACACAGTTCAAAGGAATGACGATTAAGGATTGACTGCTGTTGAGGGGTATCACTAGAATACTACACAGCCTTATGGAGGGGATTAGGGTAATTTAATTGTGAAACGACCAAAATCCACCGATCCCTTACCCCCTTAGGGAGGCTTTGAAAATTTGCCTTTAAAATTAAGGAGACTGGGAAGGGTTTTTAGATGTACGCGCGCGCGCGATCTACACGCGCCACAACTGAGATGCACGCGTCAGCTGAATGAATCAAAATCAGCACACCGGAAGTTAAATGTTGCTTGAAATTGGGCGAACCGGAAATAAAATCTGCGAAATACATTTGTTTCTAGCTCGAAATTTTGTTCGGTGACCTATCTTGATTTTTTTTTACTGGATTAATTTTTTCCATTCTGTCTGAAAAGTTAAAGAATTTAGGGAACTTTCCAACAAAGAAATAAAAATGGTAGGTCACCGAATTAGTTTTTCAGATAATTTACAAAAACTAAAATTTAGTGGATGTTTTTGTGGACCATGTGCGTTGCCATGGTAACTGATATGACGTCACAAGTACCCTTAAAGTATAGCCCAACAATAGAGTTGCAAGGAGACATATAGTTTGCCGACCCCATTAAATATCCTTCTTTGTAATCTTCCATCGTTTCACAAACACTGCAACAACGAAAAACCCTTTCGAGCCTCCCTAAAGAACGCAACACAATTAGGGCTGAGTGGAATGAACTCCGCTGGAAATGAATAAATCATGCAGTGAGAGACAAATAATAATGGAAACTGTTTATTGATACACAGTAATCTCGGAGGAAATTGTTTAAGTGTTTTTTTTATTTCATTTGAGAGTTAAACAATCGCATTTTTTTACATTGAATATTAACAATTGCTGTCGATATTACATGGCCTAGTATTTTGCACGCGTCACTTTACTCTAAATATGTTATGGACTGCCAACTTTCTTACAGTCAACCATCTAAAACTTAAGCTTCCTCGTCGAATTCCTTATTTACCAGAGTGTCACAATTTATTTTTCATTTGTGGATGAATATTCTTTAACAATTTACAATATACCCTAGGCACTTCTTTTATCGTCCAGAGTACTTCGAGATTCCGTGTATTTAGATGAAATTACTTTACAAAGTCCTTCTTGAATCCCTCGTCGTTGTCTTTAACATCATCTTTAGGGTTGAAACGATCGTCGAAAAAACGAGAGAAAAATTCTCTTCTTAGTGTGTTACACTCTTTGTAACAGTTTTCCCTTGTCTCAGTACAATTATTAGCGCACAGTTGATCATCACAGTCGTCCAGACATTGTTTTGATACGCTGGTACAGTCAGTCACACACTGAGATGACTTGGAGGACACAAAATGTATGATGAAAATCACGGCAATAAAGACTGCAAGTTTACAATTCGCCATGATCTGAAACAACACTTCACAGATTAGCATAACTGTTCGAGCTTCACTTCGCTTGTTCCAGGCTTTCATTTAGTAAAACAGGGCGAAATATTGAAACCTCCCAAACCTCCCATCTCATGCCTTTTCGCCCGCCGCTATAATCGCGCCGTTTATTATTAAGCCCCGTTTTAATTTGTTGGCGACGACTGATCCCCACTCCGTCCTCCCATTTTTAATCACGCATGTATTTTTAAATGATACGTGTAAACTTTGAGGGTACGTGTATTCAATCTGTAAATTTTGTCTCTCTTCTAAGCTTATTATAATGGAAGGTTGGATATGATAAATCCAAAATCAAAATCTAGGCAGAATTTAGTGCAGCTGCCATGATTTGGATCTTAACCGCGAACTTGAATCTCTACGCGCTATAAAATCTGACAAGCCCACTGCGTTTAGATCCAAGCGAAATGCATTCTGGTAAAAGCGTCAGTTCACTCTACTCGAGGCGCAATGCATCCTGGTAGAAAGATCATGTCGGTGTTTACTTTGAGATTATGCATGACAATTTATTAGGGTTTTTATCAGTATCTGCTGCTCAGTATCTTTTATCAGTATCTTCGTACTCCCCCGAAATTAATAGACGTACAAATCGTGTCTGAAAGTGTTCTTATTTTTGTCCCACATTCATGGACGTTCGAGTTGGATAAGGCGAAATTCACCAGCAGCCGATTACAATCGATAGAAATCCATCAATTTACTAGAGGAGACTTTATCCACAGACATCAGTTGATATCAATTGATCGACTGATCACCGATTATCAGCGTTCAGATCATGGTCAGGTGATCAGGTTGGAAGCACAGTTTGAGTGATTATCTTTTTAGTTCCGCCACAATTCACATGTTTAAATATGAAATGATATGCTTATTGTTGGCCGATGATGTCCGCTCCTCCTTTAGCGGCGAACAATTCAAAGGAAGCCAAATTAACAATATCTTAAACCCCTCAGAGAAACACATTTTATGGA